ACGATACTCTCGCCGGTCTCAGCGTGCTTGTAAACATGATAAGTCTAGACATCGACTGGTTAATGAACCGTAATCTCCGAAGGCGACATCGCCTTGCTCACAGTATCCAGCATCTCTTCTGCGAGACCGACTGGGACACGAATAGTAACCCAATCGCGTGCAGATGAACGGATAACATCTTCTTCTGTCAGACCGTGTAAGGCAAGCCATTCGCCGACGACGTCCAGAGTCTCAGGGTAGGGAGTCATGAGTGCTTCTGTCTCTTGCTTCGACAAGTATGCCCCATAACGTGCGTGACTTGGATCGCTTATCTCCCAGAGGTGCTGCTCAAGTTCCGGGAACTTGGGCTGAGGGAGAGCGATCTTGAGCTCGAGTATGTAGTGCTTTTGTGCGGGAGCATGCTTGTACCACCCACTGGGTGGACCATGGATATTCTCTTTCACCTTTTGATGACAGCCCTTAAAGGGTACAGTGCTAGCGAGAGCAACCGCGAAGGGCAGCAGAAGCAGAGCGACGAGCTTCATCGTCAGTGCACAACACACCGTCAGGGTGGCACTCGAAAGGATTTCTCTATTTCATGCGCATTTGTAGTACTTACACATAATGAGATCGGCATTGACCAAGCCATGGAATACGTATTCAACGGTTCGATTGACGTGGCTGGCCGCCTTCCAATGTCCCACTGAGCTGGCAGACGGACCGACGGTTCTTCGTTATACGGTAACGTTGTCGATGGACCTGAAAACATCGTGTTTGGCCAATTAATTTAATTCCACCGTAACAAGCCCGGCTCGATTATCCGACACAGCAGCATGCGCGTCACCGCTGTAATGGCATCAGGAAATCGCCGAGGCGATGGTTTCCCTAGTTGTAGTTGGTAAGTAAGATCGATAAAAGATTATATGCGAAGACAAAGGTACTAGACAAAGTGATATAGAACTTACACGTCTTTGTTCGTTATGAATCTTGTTTTATATCACACCGCAGCAGCCAAAAGATAACTCGATGTCTCTTTGTCACTTCCCTGCTTGCATCTGCGACGTCCAAAGGACCATACCATGATCATCGATCAGGGAGTACAATATTAAAAAGACAAAGCGAGCTCGATTCACACATCGGGGTTATCAATGTTTAGGAGAGGTTTTTATGTGGTACTGAATGTTAAGATAAATTTAAAATTTAAACTAACATAAAGAGGGACATATAACTTTAAATGTTGGCGGTGTTTTGTGCGGAATGCAAAATATCAAGTATCTGCAACCATGTTCCCACCGACTATACGTCAATGACAATTAGAAATATAATCATATTTTATGTGTGTGCTTAAATTTGAAGTTTAACTCTCGTGTAATACGACGAACAAAACTAGTAGTTTGGGCTATGACCATGTGGTTGCTAATATTTCAAGTTGTGTGCGCAATTTAAGCGCCTCTTGAAATTTAAAGTTTACACCACAGACAAAATGTGATGACAAAACTTTAAGTTTTGTCCACAGATTAAATAAATCACCCACCCATTGCCCACCCATTGCCCACCCATTGCCCATCAATTGTTGTATGTGTCGACTGGAAGCCTTTCCAATTCAGTGCGAATGGGTCCGGCCTGCATAGAATCATTGGCGAACACCATGCTGTCCCGCGAGATTAAGATAAGTCTTGATGTGGTTTGTGATTGTGTTTCTTTTATGTAACCTAATTGTTCAGTCGCCCACTTCATTCTCCTACTAGGATACATAAGCAAAACAAAGAAACTGCCAGCCCATATATTTTGCGTATCTCTTGCGACGCACGTCGGCTTCAAAAATACGAATCAACTTAATGTGCTCCAGAAGCTGCGTTGTCACTCCATAGACGTGCTTCATGTGACACTGACCGCAGCCCCGCAGAATACCTAGGCTTAGCTTATTTCTCTCTGCCTCATTTCACATCAACTCTTCATGCCTACTATCCGAAAACCGTGAGGTGAGATTTGCCCTTTGGCTCCCTCCGACTCCTCGTCCTTCATGATTTCCCAGAGTTACTTAACAAATACTACTTGAGTCTCTGCGATGCCATTTCTCTGCGATGCATCCTCAGCGCGTTCCCTATGTCTATCATCCTTCCTGACCCTCATCTACGCTACATTAAAAAGCGCCGACCTCCGCAACAACCTCGATCAATACCTCCTTAATCGTGGGGACCCCTTCATTCCTTAAAACGCTCAAAAGCCTTGCCGTTGCGCCCACTGCAGCCTGAGTCGCCAATGAAGGGGTCTGTTGCAAAGGGGCTGAGGTTCAAGTGATGATTTCATATGTTGCTAATGCACGTCTTGCAGTCGATCTCGCCGTGGCCACCAAAAAGACCCTTCTCCGCATGGAAGCAGGCTGGGAGGTCCTCGTCCTTTTGGTCGCTCTTCAGCGTCCAGAGGTGCTTGAGAACTGTCGCCCTCTCAAGACGCGATCTACCTTTCTTCGTAATTAACATCGGTGGGTGCCCCCGCCCCTTCCACCATTTCCCACTTCTAATTCTACGTAGAGTTGGATGACAATGGAATCGAGCTCGCGTGATGATACCCCACTTCCCTGCGTCGGCCTGCTCGTTTACGAATATTCTTTAGCAATTCGTACGCTTGTTCTATCGGTATGATGCAATTTATTTACATTTATCTCTCACATTCGGAATCAGAGGAAAGCCTGCTTGATCAATCTTCAACGTGCGTGACATCCATCATCTTCACTTGAATTATCATCTTCTCCCCCTCACTATGATCAGCTAATCTTTCTCGTGGAAGCCTGAATATTCTTTCTGTGCGCTGGACCACACAATGCTTGTTCAGCTGTTTCCAACTGTGATCAGGCAAGGTTGCATAAATTCTGAACATGCCTCTTGCGCCCTTCTGATTGTTAATAGATCGCGCATAAGTCTTTTTCATCCTGCGGAGTCCAATCTTTCTTGCAGCGAGTCTGAATCTCTCAACACTCATTCAGCTTCCCTCGAATTTAACTGGGCATTCATCTCGTGTTCAGCTGTTTTCTCGCTGTTATCAGGCAAGTTTTGTCAGTTGAACATTCCTTCTTACGCGCTGAATCTCATAAGACTTGTTTAGCGTGATCAGGCAGATCTTTCTTGCGCGAGTGTCTGAACGTTCTTACGAGCTGAATCTCTCAACACTCAACACTCATTCAGTTTCCCTCGCTTTAACCAGGCGATCATCTTGTGTTCAGCTGTTCCCACTATCATCAGGCAAGTTTTGTCAATCTGAACATTTCTTCTTACGCGCTGAAAGATCACAACTTAGATGGCGCATAGTCTTTTTTCATCCAGCATCGGTTTCCCGAAAGAGAGAAGGAGACCGACTTGTGGTAAGCTTCCAGTTACATGCTCAGTAACCCATTCTCTTACAGGCCAAAGCACCAGCGCGACGTTTTCGAGAGCGTCAAGCTTCCATCCTCTGTCAAGACGAACATTTCACGCGATACGAGTCGTGGACTTGACCGCTTGTGCGGCTGCGCTCGATCGTCGTGGCACAAAGTGCGAGGTGGATGCTTGCATGTCGCCAGGAGTGTAAGCTCGACGAGATGTTGGTGAGTCTGTTTTGATATAACAATGTAACACTCTTCAATATTTATTTACAGCCATAAGTTCAAATCTCAAATCGGCATAGAAGACGCACTTCATATCCCATCCCACCCCACTCTATCATGGTTTATACCCCCTGCTGTATCATGAACTCTTGTCTTTACATTTACAGGTGTACCCGCGCAGTCAGAAGGGCGAGCTCAGCATCTCCCCCTCGTCCATGGTTCTCCTTGCACCCAATTTGCACCAACTCCCATCCGCCCACTTCGGTCTTAAGGACCAGGATACCCGGTACCGCAAGCGTTACCTCGATCTCATCATGTCCTTGTACGCGCAATATCTTCCTATATAATTACGACACCTTTTGTATTTCCCTGGCTTCTCGTTGACCGCGTGGTAGAAACGATGACGACCTACTCCCCTTGATTCCTCTCATGTCTCGCTAGAACAGATACACGCGTGTTAACGTTTTAATGTTTTAACCGATGCAATTTTGACGCTTGTTCAGCTGTTTCCCACTGTGATCAGGCAAGTTTGCATAAATTCTGAACATGCCTCTTCCGCCCTTCTGATTTTGAATAGATCGCGAATGTTTGGATGTGCTGTACCGCGTGCAAATGCTCAGTCAAAGTGCTTTCCCAACACAACTCCCGCACACTATCTTGTACATCCACGCCTGATGATCTTCCCTCTTCTGCTGCGTCGACGGCTGTCACTGACGTGGAGTCCAAGATGACTATCACACTCGATACCCAGGTGTCCGCAGGCGGTACAAAGTTCTCGCAGGGTCAAAGGCAGCTCATCGCGATGGCGCGCATGCTGATTAGGCGGAGCTCGATTATTGTGCTTGATGAGGCAACAAGCAGCATTGACTTTGATACCGACGCTAAAATTCAGGCAACGATTAGGGAGGAGTTCACGGATTCGCCACGATTAGATAGCAAAGCGAGAACTCCAACTTTTCCATATAATGTAGAAACTCCGCAAGCGATGCGGAGATGCGGAGAATTCTGGAAATCAAATTCGTGACTGCCAGGCTTTGGTCGTGTTACCGTCCACGTTGTAGCCTAGAGATTTGGTTCAAATGGACCAGGGCTGATCAATATCTACTAGGTCGCAGCATACCTTCATGGCCGTCCGAGTTGCAACGATATTCGAAGGCAGTAGTACAGTTAGCTTTTCTACTGACTCCTTATGCGCGTGCCCTGACCTTCATCCTAGTGATCCCTCGTTGGGCGCCGATTATAGCATCCAGTGCAAACAAGTTGATGCATTACAGTCTGTAATTAGTTGCTTAAGCGAAACTGACTGAAACTAGGGATCAACAGGGAAACATATCACGACGGTTGGGAGGGGATCGTGCACCCGTCGGGCGGTCATGTACTATTTTTCCAGTAAGATGGTAAGCAATACGATTCGTGATCGTATCCTTCAGTGTCTTACAACCGCACAGAAGACATATACGGGAACCGACATAAAGAGATACTCGCACGATCGACTACATAATCTGAATAATTGGATTGACGTGGCACGCAGAAGACTGCAAGAAGATACGTGGTTCCTGGTCGTTGAACCCCTTGCAAAGCATGACGGCGATTACTATGAATACTATTGTGCGAACACAGAGCAGCACATAGTTGCTTGGTTTGATGCTTTCGACGCAAGTCTGCTTTTTCAGGAGTGTGCATCCGCACGGGAGTGGAACCATAAACGTAGGTTCCAATGTCCTATCAACGCATGCTACGACTCAAATGCATAGGTCTTGAGCTCGAAGCACAATTTTGGTAATAATCGGTCGATGGAATAAATACTACAATTGACGCCTGCATATAAATCAGGAAGCATGTCGATTTTTTTTCCGCGTCATTACAACATGACGCCTTCTGATGCGAAGGATCTACGAGTTCACTTGGAATGGTTTTTAGCAGGTAAGACATCTTCGTGCAGATACCACAGAACTGATTTGAACATGTATTACAGAAGGACTCACCTTGGAACAATCAACTGCAGCTTCGTTGTTTCGGAACAACAACCAAGCGGAGAAAATAATATCTTGTATCATTAGATTCGGTTCGTCACACGAAAATGATAGCGCTTGATTTTACTGACGGAATCATTCAGAGAGTCATCTTTCGTCCAACAAATTCATGACTGAGCAAGGAGTAGCATTTTGCGGTACGTCTGCTTCGCCCACTTGTACGACGAGATAATTGAAACCCGCCGTCAATAGGAAGGATATGGAGCATCTTACGTAGGTTTCTCGGCCGATGCAGCTCAAGTTTTGCAATAACTTATAGGATAAGGCCATCATCAATTCTTAAACTACTACGGTTTACCGGAAGCTCGTTTGATGCGGACTCATTCGGTGGAAGGATTGAAGCGAAAGCGAACCCTTCCCCTCTTACTGGTGACAGCTGCAATGTTCGGGGTGCCAGCACTTGTTTTGGAACATATAGAAAATATCCATGTCGACGGCATCGTCAACTCACTCAATATCAGGCAGTTCGTTGACTGTTTCAATGACGAGAATTTGAAACATAGCACTTTGGTACGCACATCTCCCTATATTGAAATTGGAAAGCTAATCAAGTCTACGTCTTCCATTATCAAGGCTGGTGTTATCATGGCCGTAGATGCTGGCATACTTGCCATTCCAGATTTTGGATCTCAAGTGATAACAAGGACATTGTGTTCTCTTTCACTCATTTTCAGTGTCCACTGTATATTGGCAGGTGTCACTGCTCAACACTTCGGTGAAATGATGAAGTCTCTGGAATTTGCAGTATGTGTAATCTAGCACAGTTATCTCTCTATGCTAATTCGATACTACATGTAGTCTCAGCATCTCAATGACAAGCGCACTAGAGTTGCGGTCATTTACAGCGCTCCCAGTCTATTACGGACAACCAGGTAATCAACTTGTCATAAGGCGTACAGATGACGTTAATCGTAAGCTGACAGCGTGGCTTTATCTACTCTAGGCTTTCTTGCAGGAATATACACATCCCCAGGTCATTCGTCAATGACGATAATTCCATGCACGATCGTCGTTGCCATCCTAGGAGGTTTCTTGTTCTGGTCATCAGCTATCACATTCCAACAGCATTTGAAACTCGAGAAATTATATTAAACAAGTGTCGTTGTAACATAACACTGTGGGTAGTACACTCGTGAAATCCAGTGAATTAAATCACTATATTCCCGTAGCGGATGCCTACCTGAATTAAGTATGTTGCTCACTCAAATCTAGTCACTTCTATATCGCTGAAAGGACCAACTTGACATACGAAATTTTCCGTGAAGTCTTCATTCATTTTTACTTGAATGTATCACGGAACATACAGCGACAACATCACTGCAAAAGGACTGATGCAATCACTGGAATTGTACGATTATTGATGCTGATGATGAGTGAGGTAATACAGTACAGGTAACAGGAGTACAGGTAACAGGCGAATGTAACGAGACATCTAGTGCATAATCAGGGAGACACAAAGCAGGACAACATTTGTGATCAATCGAGAAGCGGCATGCATGAAGAATAATGATAGAGACAATCTTGAATGAGTTGGCGGCGGCAATTTGAGCAACATGGTTGAACAACAAGCTATTGGTGTCGAAGAAATGGCGAGCAGAGATGAAGGACCTGGTGTGTAGTGGTAGCGAATCCAGTGAGCTGAGACAGAACCTAGCAAGCAGGGACAGGTGAAGAACGGCCAGAAATGTGGTGAAGAGAGACGGATGAAGAACTTGGTTCAAGGAGATGGTAGGCACACACAAAAGCTCATTTGCGCGACTGTGAAAAGACAAATTGTTAGTGAGATGGGATGCCTAGAGAAAACTCACCCTTCCGCGTCTGGTTGGTCGTGACCGTGAAGATTTAGGCCGCGGTACTGGAGTACTAGCATGAATGCTCTCGGGCTATGTGAAGCAGTAAGGTGAAAGTTGACAGGCAGAAAGTTCAAAAACGCACTGGTTCAGACAGCTCCGATTCACCATTGTCGTGATATGCTGCATCATCATATGATCCAGAAAACTTAGAGGGACCCGCTGTTGGTTGCTAGTGCGTGACGACGTAAATGTGAGCTAAAATAAACAAAGGGTTGTCAGTCTAAGGGCCAAAAATGACGTACCGCTTTTTGCGCGCACTGCTGGGCCAATGATCTGAGCAGATTTTTTTTGGAGGCCGTGGGCGCCTCTCCTCATCGATGTCTGAATCCACTAACATCAGACTCATCAATCTGTGCGCATATATGCGGTCAACCTTGAGCATTCAATTGACTAAGTAGCTCACCTCAGAGTCGTCCAAGTTTGGGTGCTGCTTCTTAGTGTACTGTACATGATTTCGAAGATAACAACCCATAAAGTCGTGAAACGGCCAATTGTCACGGAACTTTGCGAGATATTGGTGTTTGTGTTGTGCCCGCGCATAGTTGCAGTAGCATATATTCACTGAAAAAACATGAAACACTTACATAGGCTAAGAGGAATATCACCGTAAGTTTGTCTTGTTGTTTCAGAGTCCGTGAAGTATCGAGGTATCGATTCGTATATTTCTGTGCCATCATCTTATCAAAATGTGAATTATTAAAAGTGCCATCAGTCAACAACAGTACTCACTCTTAACGCGTTGTATTTCCAGTCATTTCCAGCCAATCCCATGGCCTGTTGGAGACTATATCCTCCTTTGAGTTCTGATCAGCCTGCTTGACCCTTAGGCTTGTCGATCTGCTTCTTCACATGCGCTGTGGGGCTGAGCCTTCTGCGATGATCATTTCCTGACATGTGTGTTACTTCTATTCCTTCTGATAAACCGAAATCTGACTCACGTTGCAAATGCCGAAGCTCGGTTTCCAGTTGCCTGAGATTCCTTGCAGCCCTGTCTGCCTTTCCGACTGTTTTGCCCTTGTTGTGGGGCATCGTTGATGGTGGTGGTGGAGAGGTGCGCAGGTTAGTCGTTTGATTTGTTGGTCTCCTTTGTTGACGTGTTGTTTGTCACGTGCACGTGACAACTTTCTCGTGTGAGCCTAGTCTCTCACTTCTGATTTTCAATAGATGGCGCAATGTGTTCCAGTAACCATCCCTCCATTTATCTACATATGTACATGCTGATGTTTTCCAGCAAGAGCGCTACATCATTTGTCCTCAATTTGTTCCCTGCCCTTATTGCTCGGGATGTTCTTGGTCGTCGAGGTCTCCACCTGCTTCTATCGCTAGCTCCATGAGCTTGTCCGCTAATTCACTGAGTATGTCGATGTCATTCTTCGTGTGTCCTTCCTTTCGGCGTTCCATATTTAAGTATTCGTTGATGGCACGTCGGGAAAAGTCATCAGCAACTTTAGCCATTGGAGGCGGAGTCATATACTGATGGACGTGGTCGACTGACCATGTTACTGCTCTGTCCTGAAGGTACAGCTCAGTTATTTGCTGCTAACAAAACCGTTGATGTTGACTTACGATGAACCCTCCTTTATAGTTCACTGCGAGGAAAATGCTTGTAGACAGAAGAACGAGCACTTGGGTCAGGATCATCAACATGTGCCATAGCCACCAATAATCCTTGGAGGGTGTCTTGGACGCCTTTCGAGGCGCATAATCATATGTCCATAGCTTGATTGTGGTATTTCCCCGGCCCTGCGCTGGCGAAACGCTGGCGATCGTGCAGTGGCCATTGAGATTGTGGGTCTGGAAAATCCCAGTCTTCAGTGACTTCCTTTGTCGCCATTTATCACCACTTACTGCTATTGTCTGCACTAGGCCGCCATTTGCGTGACGGAGAGTCTCCAGTAGCTCTCCTGCCTTCCTGTCGAATATGTACACCAAACCGTTGTCACTTCCACCCGCAACCACCCTTCCTTCTTCCCTGAAGGCCACTTGCTTGGGGACCAACATACTCGGAACAGCAGTCGTGAACGTCCGAACGGGCTCCTCCCCCTCGTCTTCAAGACAATACATTGTAAAGCCATCTGTCGCGTTATCTACGACGAATAAGCCCTTCTTGAGGTTGACTGCAGCGTGCCCACTTGAAGGATTAGTCAGTGATCCGCACATCGGGTGCAGCAGTTGGGTGGACCCTTACATGACTGACTGACAGCTAAACTCTCTCACAACAGTACCGTCTTTGCCCTCCAGTTTAATGCTGCTTGACGCTTAGTATGATGCGAAAATGCTGCAATGGAGCCTTACAATTTTCCGTCGTAGAGGCCGAAAACGTAGATGTCGTAGTTGTCTGCAAACGCTACGGACTTTGGTACCGTATTGTCAAGCCAAACTGCGAAGACAGACTGAAGCTGCGAGTTGGCGTTGAGCAGGAGAACTTGGACTATCTTGTCTCTCATTCCGACTGCGATCCGCGTGTTGGCCTCAGAAGAAGTCGAATCCCATGATAAACATGTGATCTCGAAACCTGAACCAAGCCTCCTCGCGCAAATTTCCTGGAATCGTTTCTGTTGAGATGTCAACGGAAGGTTCGACCACGCCCAACTAAGCTTACATCTATGACACTTCGGCGCAAAAACACGACGTAGCCCAGCCCAGTTCCATAACAAAGAGTCTCCACGGTGGTTGGCCTAGTCAAGGTCCAAGCCGCACAGCTGACAGTTCCTCGTGATTCGTGACGATGAGATGAACAGGCAAGTTCTTTACGAGAATTGATATCCCAAAGTTTGACACCTTCAGTGCCTTGTTATGTGTCAGCATTGTCCCTCCGGAGTGAGATGTATACTTACCACCGCAGGCGAGCACCTGCCCATCATTGGAAATTGCGAGCGCATGGACAGACCTGCTGGGGACAGACAGACGAGTTAGAAGCTTGTAGCGCTGGTTTGACTTTGCCCTGATCCAGAAAGAAGACATGTTGAATGACACGCTGTAGTCGCCCGCTCACAGCGTATTTATTGGCCATTTCTTTTTCTCATTTGTCTTTTAGCAATTGTAATTCTTGTTCGAGACGTGACGCTCAATGATTGTCTTTTCTCCTTGGTAATTATTGTTCGAGACGGATACATGATTTGACGTCAAATTAATGATTTGATCTGGGCCTCGAGTTAGTCTGTACTGCTCGTCAACGAGTCAATGGTGAAGCGAATAGTCTAAATCTTGTCTGCATTGAAGCTTGAAGATCCGGCATCTCTTGATTTGTCTTTGAAAGGTCTTTTGTGTTGTGTCACCGCCCAGCGATTCTTTTGTAGTTCAACATTCCAAATGCTAAGGGTAGCCGCTGCTTGGATTGGATTGGACCCAATAATTGTTCTCACCCGATATGGCAGTTCAAACCAAGTTCAAACATTCAAATTTCGCTCAGATAATAGATACTTAGTATAATATAAATTATTCTCTTACATCTCAATTATCTGTGTACAATGTGCAACAGTTCCACAACAGTTCCCCCCTTCTATGACCAGGAGCAGTCTGGTGCTCCACCACTATTCCCCCCAATGCTCACGGACCAACTTGAGCTGCTCGGCAGCATCCATCGCCCGACTACACTTATTGCCGATGAGATCATCGTTTCTATCGTGAGCCTGAGGACACCGCCCGCACTTGCCCCTGAGTTCAAAATAGCAAAGCGGTCGCGCAAGCCTGATTACTCCTCTCCATACCCAAAGAAGGCCATTCGGGCTCGCTCCCGTTCAATGACGCCTAGTATATGTTCAGATTCACAAAGCTCTTCGAATCATTCTTTCGACAGCGGCTCCTCAACTTCAATCACACCTTTATCAGAAGACTCAAAAATCCCTAAGCCCCTCGGCGAGGCTGGGGGCTCGGGGCGTGGGCGATACATTCTCTATGATGCATTGAATTGGAGTCCAAAGAAATATACAGAATTCAAGGTTTGCAATGTACATGCTTGCTCTCTGTTTCAAAGCTCACAAGGCACTAAGAAATTTATGTATGTTGTTATCAGCAATGACCTCACAACGACACAGTGCGCTTCTGCGCAAAGCCCTGCTCAGTTGGAGGTCGTACGGAACAAGGTAACTATGAAACAGCCTCACTGTGCGGGTCAAGGATCTCATGGTATGTTAGGCTATCGACAGGTTCCCAGACCTTGAAGATTATAGCGATTTATGGCCGGTGAACGATATTATCACGACACGACTGAAATACACGTCGCGTCACGTCACGCGGAACTTGAAGGAGCAGGAGATGACTGCGAGTGTTCGAACGACAGTTTGTTTGACATCTATGTTTTTGGTATCACAGCTAATACTCCTACAGGAGGACTAATGTACGACTGTATCGTTAACCTTCAATGCTCCCTCTGCTGTCGCACTGCACTGACATACTTGTGGTGGTCGCACTGCACTGACATACTTGTGGTGGTCATAACATTTGAGTAGAATACATATGTAAAGAATGTCCTCCTTCATATGAACGTGAAACTTCGCAAAAGTTTGCTATGTTGTTCTGCGGAGATCTGCACACTTTGCGGGAAACTGCACTGATGGATCGATTGTTCTATCAGTATGGAGTGGGTTGCTTCCTCTTCAATGTAAATCACTCCTCCACAATTGATCATGAAGCCGATATCTGAAATCACGCCTGTAAAAACAGTGAGTTCTTCAGTGAGGATGCATTAATCATGGAGATCAGAAACGAGATAGTTGTTAAAACGTTAACACGCGTGTATCTGTTCTAGCGAGACATGAGAGGAATCAAGGGGAGTAGGTCGTCATCGTTTCTACCACGCGGTCAACGAGAAGCCAGGGAAATACAAAAGGTGTCGTAATTATATAGGAAGATATTGCGCGTACAAGGACATGATGAGATCGAGGTAACGCTTGCGGTACCGGGTATCCTGGTCCTTAAGACCGAAGTGGGCGGATGGGAGTTGGTGCAAATTGGGTGCAAGGAGAACCATGGACGAGGGGGAGATGCTGAGCTCGCCCTTCTGACTGCGCGGGTACACCTGTAAATGTAAAGACAAGAGTTCATGATACAGCGGGGGTATAAACCATGATAGAGTGGGGTGGGATGGGATATGAAGTGCGTCTTCTATGCCGATTTGAGATTTGAACTTATGGCTGTAAATAAATATTGAAGAGTGTTACATTGTTATATCAAAACAGACTCACCCAACATCCCGTCGAGCTTACACTCCTGGCGACATGCAAGCATCCACCTCGCACTTTGTGCCACGACGATCGAGCGCAGCCGCACAAGCGGTCAAGTCCACGACTCGTATCGCGTGAAATGTTCGTCTTGACAGAGGATGGAAGCTTGACGCTCTCGAAAACGTCGCGCTGGTGCTTTGGCCTGTAAGAGAATGGGTTACTGAGCATGTAACGGAAGCTTACCACAAGTCGGTCTCCTTCTCTCTTTCGGGAACCGATGCTGGATGAAAAAAGACTATGCGCCATCTAAGTTGTGATCTTTCAGCGCGTAAGAAGAAATGTTCAGATTGACAAAACTTGCCTGATGATAGTGGGAACAGCTGAACACAAGATGATCGCCTGGTTAAAGCGAGGGAAACTGAATGAGTGTTGAGTGTTGAGAGATTCAGCTCGTAAGAACGTTCAGACACTCGCGCAAGAAAGATCTGCCTGATCACGCTAAACAAGTCTTATGAGATTCAGCGCGTAAGAAGGAATGTTCAACTGACAAAACTTGCCTGATAACAGCGAGAAAACAGCTGAACACGAGATGAATGCCCAGTTAAATCGAGGGAAGCTGAATGAGTGTTGAGAGATTCAGACTCGTGCAAGAAAGATTGGACTCCGCAGGATGAAAAAGACTTATGCGCGATCTATTAACAATCAGAAGGGCGCAAGAGGCATGTTCAGAATTTATGCAACCTTGCCTGATCACAGTTGGAAACAGCTGAACAAGCATTGTGTGGTCCAGCGCACAGAAAGAATATTCAGGCTTCCACGAGAAAGATTAGCTGATCATAGTGAGGGGGAGAAGATGATAATTCAAGTGAAGATGATGGATGTCACGCACGTTGAAGATTGATCAAGCAGGCTTTCCTCTGATTCCGAATGTGAGAGATAAATGTAAATAAATTGCATCATACCGATAGAACAAGCGTACGAATTGCTAAAGAATATTCGTAAACGAGCAGGCCGACGCAGGGAAGTGGGGTATCATCACGCGAGCTCGATTCCATTGTCATCCAACTCTACGTAGAATTAGAAGTGGGAAATGGTGGAAGGGGCGGGGGCACCCACCGATGTTAATTACGAAGAAAGGTAGATCGCGTCTTGAGAGGGCGACAGTTCTCAAGCACCTCTGGACGCTGAAGAGCGACCAAAAGGACGAGGACCTCCCAGCCTGCTTCCATGCGGAGAAGGGTCTTTTTGGTGGCCACGGCGAGATCGACTGCAAGACGTGCATTAGCAACATATGAAATCATCACTTGAACCTCAGCCCCTTTGCAACAGACCCCTTCATTGGCGACTCAGGCTGCAGTGGGCGCAACGGCAAGGCTTTTGAGCGTTTTAAGGAATGAAGGGGTCCCACGATTAAGGAGGTATTGATCGAGGTTGTTGCGGAGGTCGGCGCTTTTTAATGTAGCGTAGATGAGGGTCAGGAAGGATGATAGACATAGGGAACGCGCTGAGGATGCATCGCAGAGAAATGGCATCGCAGAGACTCAAGTAGTATTTGTTAAGTAACTCTGGGAAATCATGAAGGACGAGGAGTCGGAGGGAGCCAAAGGGCAAATCTCACCTCACGGTTTTCGGATAGTAGGCATGAAGAGTTGATGTGAAATGAGGCAGAGAGAAATAAGCTAAGCCTAGGTATTCTGCGGGGCTGCGGTCAGTGTCACATGAAGCACGTCTATGGAGTGACAACGCAGCTTCTGGAGCACATTAAGTTGATTCGTATTTTTGAAGCCGACGTGCGTCGCAAGAGATACGCAAAATATATGGGCTGGCAGTTTCTTTTGTTTTGCTTATGTATCCTAGTAGGAGAATGAAGTGGGCGACTGAACAATTAGGTTACATAAAAGAAACACAATCACAAACCACATCAAGACTTATCTTAATCTCGCGGGACAGCATGGTGTTCGCCAATGATTCTATGCAGGCCGGACCCATTCGCACTGAATTGGAAAGGCTTCCAGTCGACACATACAACAATTGATGGGCAATGGGTGGGCAATGGGTGGGCAATGGGTGGGTGATTTATTTAATCTGTGGACAAAACTTAAAGTTTTGTCATCACATTTTGTCTGTGGTGTAAACTTTAAATTTCAAGAGGCGCTTAAATTGCGCACACAACTTGAAATATTAGCAACCACATGGTCATAGCCCAAACTACTAGTTTTGTTCGTCGTATTACACGAGAGTTAAACTTCAAATTTAAGCACACACATAAAATATGATTATATTTCTAATTGTCATTGACGTATAGTCGGTGGGAACATGGTTGCAGATACTTGATATTTTGCATTCCGCACAAAACACCGCCAACATTTAAAGTTATATGTCCCTCTTTATGTTAGTTTAAATTTTAAATTTATCTTAACATTCAGTACCACATAAAAACCTCTCCTAAACATTGATAACCCCGATGTGTCACATGATGCTGACAAACCTAATTAGTCCAATGAAGGTTGTGGCTGACGGGCCGGCATGGGCCGCGGGATGACAGATATTTTTTCCAGACTTGCACCGAGCTCTTGAGTCTTGAGTAGGTACAGGAATAGGGCATCGCGACTCAGAGCCACTCATTGAAATGCCTGCGAAACCTGCAAAGACCATAGTTCCGTCTTCCACACATGAAGTTCAATACGCGTTCTTCCCATACGCAAGGTACACCTCCGTCGTTGGCGTCCACACCAGCCTCGTAGCGTTCACAGCCCTCTTCCTACCCCAGACATCTCTCTTACTCTGGCCATCATTCGCTGATTCTGACCGTCCACAATCCCAGTTTCAAGACGCACTGACGGATAACCCAGTTATAACACTCGCTTGGATTATCGCAGGGCTAGTGATCCTCCAAGTATGGTGGGCGGGGTGGATCAGGCAGTGGTGTTTCGAGTATACCTCTCGCGGCGGAACGAGTGACGAGATTAAAATGAATAGGTATCACTTCGATCGAGGGAGATTTTCGGTGTGTCTTCTCCTTCGCAGTTCAAATTTCTCATATTCTCTCAGAGATTAGGAAGAGCGGCTGTTTTCACTTCATGTGTAGCCTTGGTGTTCCACGCAACTATAGTATTGTTCGGTGCTCCTTCTTCAAGGTGACAATTGACGTATCCAACAAGATTTGTGCTGATCATACGTATGGAAGCCACCTCCCTCATACATTCTTGCTGGCGATCGTTCTAGCACTGCTATCCGCGTTCGCGCCAGCTTATGCAATGGGTTCTCCCTCCTTCTCCTCCGACACTTCGTCCTTCATCACTAGACTTAACTGGACACGTTTATTCGCCGAGCTTTCGTGGGTCAATATACGTACCGTCTTACTCTTTGCCTGACATTGTGCTAGCCCGCGGAATCCGATAGAAAGGGCTCTGGTTTATCCTGCTGTCGCGAGCCTCCTTGGCGCTTGGCTCGGTGCTCTCCCAATCGCTCTGGACTGGGATCGACCATGGCAGGTCAGTTCCAGCATCATTTACCGAGATTCGAGCTCATGATAATCTAGGCCTGGCCGCTAACGCCTCTCTTCGGAGGGATCGCAGGCTATATAGTCGGATCTCTTTCAGCGCTTTCCGTCAGTGCATTAAAGTGGTTGACTGAGAAGAACATCAAAAGAGAACAATCGGAGAAGCAGAAAACCACCTGAGGCGCTGATTTCAGTTCCTTATTATTTAAGTTGAGTTCTAGACACCTATCAATCGCTCTTTTGGGACCAGGCTCTTCTATGCGAATATGAGGTCGGCATCAGCCTCCCTGAGAAGCTTGCGTCTTTCTCTGGTTTCGCGTTCCCCGATGCACGACGAGACTCTTGAAGTTTCAAGCATCCATGAGACGCCTGAAATCAGCTTCTGGAATCCTTGTGTCGCTGACGTATCAGGCCATCATTATACGACGACAGTTTAGAATTGCACGTCATCATCGTGTTCTTGGGTTCTTCCACCTTGCAATAGAATACCCGGGATAGTGCAAGTCAAATTTGAGGTCTATTGGCAATCTGCTGGCATTGCAAATACCATCTGTTTATGTAACGGCATGGATGAGGCCTGCACCGAACAGTATTCAGGACATAAAAGCAAGTCATCTTCCTACCGCCCCCCTACAGATTTATTTTCGAGATCCATATAATGCGTCTCTGCTTCCAAGTCGTCCTCGCCGTTGTTGCTGCTTTGACGGTGTCTATGGCTGTCAGTGCTGAAAGTGAATGTCATTCAGATGACCACCTTTGCAACACAGATAAAGATTGTTGCAATGACTCTGTATGCGTGGCAGTATTCGACCCACATGTTGATGAGGTGAGCTTCAGTAGTTTAATCCAGGATTTGTTGACTCACCCGTATGGTAGCCTTACTACCAATTTAGATGTGAGCCGTACTAATGAGCTACAGTGAGTCGTGTTTCGGCTTTCTCCAAGTCATTGGTGCAGTGTGGTTGATGGTACCGCACGTGAGTAGTTCGTTGCAGAATGCGGAGTGTTTATCTCAAATTTTACTGCTGCTTGAGCAATGAAGACCTTGGAGTAGAGGAACATCTCAAACATTTGAATATGGCTGAAGTACTTACGGTTTTATTCTCGTTGTCAGCTCGTAGAATACTTATTAAAGCCCCACATGCGGTGACATGATACCATACACAGTCGGACTGAACACATGTCAGCCGAGCCCCGAAAGGAATGCAGTTGTGAGCTGGGTTCCTGGGGCCGAACCCAACTGAAGTAAATCACTTAACAACAAGAGAGGTTCTGCTGATGAAGTGGACAATGTCGACTCGTGGTTAGCCATATGCAGCGAAAGCTATGGAGAAGTGCAGTCCACGTTGTAAGTGTCCTAGTTGTCTATCAGAATTCCAAGCTGCGCAGTGACCCAGAAAATAACATTGCACATAGGGAGCACTCTTCTTTGGAATTTGGATCTCCTGAGCTTCAGCTGCCGATCTCTAGACTCGTGACCAGTCCGTCTATGACGTCTATCGACGGTTTGCCTCATAGATGGACTGGTCGAGTATGGCCGATCTCCCGGAATCCAGTTTCGCGTTCCCCGATACACAATGAGACTCCGAAGTTCTCTTACCATCCATGAGACGTCTAAACTCAGCTTCGGGGTTCCTCATGTCGCCTGACGTGCCACTCAGAGGCTGGTACAACAACCCTTTGGAACCGCTAATAGAATATCAGGGACAGAGAAGGTCAGATCTGAGGTCCGTTGGCAATCTGCTGGCACTGCACTTTGCACATTTGTTATAGGCTGAGCGCAAAATAGTGCTCAGGACGTAAAAGTAAGCCGTCTTCCTACCGTTCCCCTCCAGATTCATTTTCGAGATCACATTATTTACATCTCACATCTCACAAAAAATGGATCTCCCCTCCATCCTGAGAATTAAGGGTTGAATCGGAGATGTTGACAAGGGCGTTGGCTGGGAGAGTCACCAGCCTTTTTATGCAAGATGTTTGGAGGATGCACGAATTCGAAGGTGCTGGCGGATAACATTTGTAAACATTGTCAGCCACAGCGGCCAAACAAATACACCAATTGTTTAATAATAACTGCACAAGTTCGATGCCGCATCTTGGAAGCCTTTGACTCATTGTTGGGATCTCACCATCACAATTGATTATCAAGCTGCTAAATTATTATCGTTACATCAACCGCAAGACATTAATAAATCAATCTAAGAGAATCTGGACAGCACCTCACAGAATTTCTCATTCAGTACTGTTTGATAGGCCTCACGTTCTCAACTTTCTGCACGATCCCACGTCCCCAATACGCCATCCTGACCCTCCCTTTTCCGCTGGGCTCGAAACTTTCTCTCTGGCAGACCAAGTAGTGCACAGGTCGAGCGGCACGAGCGTAGCTTAGTAGTAGTTGACGTCCCGTATGCCAAAGGAAAGCGTGTACGTTCCTGTCTTCCTCCTCGAATGTTCGAACTCCATCTCATATCACATAGAGGAATGCCTCAGCAAGAGAAAACGGAGGCCAATTCCGTTGAAACCAACGAATACTGCTGCAGGCGGCTCGCACCCTCCCAATAGTAACGTCACACAGCAATCGGCTCAGGCTCAGTTATCCTCGCAATTACAAGCAACTATCTCTACGTCGTCCACCACACCTCCCGGTCTGCGCTGCTACCACTTGGAGCACTAATCCTAATGTAACGACGAAACACGCTGGACGCTGGATTCGCTTCTGGCTCTTTATCTGTTGTACCTCTATTGAGTATACCCATGACGGTCATTAATGAATTTTCTCGTTCCTGTGACATTCGTTTCATTCCTCGAGTGTGCTCGAGGGAGGCATAAAGTCGTTTATATTTGTTGCATACAAAATAGGATTTATCTTCCATCACAAGATGCAACAGAGATGGAGAGGGCACGCGGGTGGACGACAAGCTCTTGGCTCGAGACATGGTTCTACTACATATACAACATTTGTGGCAAGTACTGAAATTGATCCCATATACCGTATCCTCGACATGGAAGCCCATGCTAACATTGGCTCCAAATTTAGAGCACACGGTTGTTCCACCCGCCGTTCCACACAGCTTCGGTGATAGTCTGGGGAGCAGTGGATGACTGGAACCCAACCCTGACCACGGGCCCAGTGTTGACTACGACCGACGCATACAAGAAGCCGCTGGTCTCAACTGCGGCGCCCAAGACCGGGCCCGGTTTGCCCCAATTGCCGCCGCTGTAGTAAATCTCCTGCACCTGACTATCGGCAGTGATGTAATACACGCGGATCTGTCGTGATGAATGAGGTTACGGGGTATGGAAGGGCTAGCGTCGAAAACTCGTACCTCGTAGCCGCACTGTCCTGTAAGCGTTTGACAGATTATCTATGTATCAATAGTCATGGTCCTGGATTACATGTAACTTTGGGTGCACATCGAGTGAAACTTTTATTCCAGAGGCCCGGGGCGTACGATAGCCGCATCTACTAGAATCCACAACTTCTAGATCACAGTCAGATTTGTGCTAGGCTAGACACCGTGGAGACTCCTCGCTATTTCCATCTTCTCGTGTTCGCGTCGGAGAACGGGACCATTGATATCCGCTATCCAGACAGGGGTTGTCTGGAGGTTTAAAAGCAAGGCTCGATGCCAGCTTAACAGTCATCGCATCAACGACCTTCTACCAATGTGAGTCACAGTTGGCAACACATCCACAGTTGCTTGTATTCATCTTCTCGCGTTGTAGCAACCATGTCAGACCTTCTGCCTACTAACTTCGTCGGGACCGCTGCAGCTGCCGTGCAGAGCGCAACCACTGGGAGTTGTCGGGTCTACTTTCAGAACAAAGACTATCAGATCTACGAAATGGCGTTGAGCGACCCAACGAGCACTACCTATAGCCTCGGGAATCTCACCTCTATTCCATTTCCCGCTGGCCGTATCAACACGCCCATCGCAGCCGTGTCGTGGAACAACTTGAGCGAGGTACGAGTTTTCGACGCTAGCCCTTCCATACCCCGTAACCTCATTCATCACGACAGATCCGCGTGTATTACATCACTGCCGATAGTCAGGTGCAGGAGATTTACTACAGCGGCGGCAATTGGGGCAAACCGGGCCCGGTCTTGGGCGCCGCAGTTGAGACCAGCGGCTTCTTGTATGCGTCGGTCGTAGTCAACACTGGGCCCGTGGTCAGGGTTGGGTTCCAGTCATCCACTGCTCCCCAGACTATCACCGAAGCTGTGTGGAACGGCGGGTGGAACAACCGTGTGCTCTAAATTTGGAGCCAATGTTAGCATGGGCTTCCATGTCGAGGATACGGTATATGGGATCAATTTCAGTACTTGCCACAAATGTTGTATATGTAGTAGAACCATGTCTCGAGCCAAGAGCTTGTCGTCCACCCGCGTGCCCTCTCCATCTCTGTTGCATCTTGTGATGGAAGATAAATCCTATTTTGTATGCAACAAATATAAACGATTTTATGCCTCCCTCGAGCACACTCGAGGAATGAAACGAATGTCACAGGAACGAGAAAATTCATTAATGACCGTCATGGGTATACTCAATAGAGGTACAACAGATAAAGAGCCAGAAGCGAATCCAGCGTCCAGCGTGTTTCGTCGTTACAATGTTAGGATTAGTGCTCAAAGTGGTAGCAGCGCCGACGGGAGGTGTGGTGGACGACGTAGAGATAGTTGCTTGTAGTTGTTTGTTGGCGAACTATGAATACAGATATCTCCCTGCCGTTGAGGTTCATGCACTCGATCTCAGTAGTGCTATCAAGAGTGTAGCGGCTGGTGGAAGTTGGTTCGCTCCTGATGCCATTGCTGAAAAATGGCTGTTTCCAGGACCTCATAGCATCACTTGACCACTCAAGTGGCGCCTGTAGACCTTGCCAGCACCCCCGTTCATCCTAGCTGCTCGATGGTTATGCACTGAGTACCTTTAGCAGGACTTTGGCTCATTGATCAGGCTACATCATCGAGCGCAAGCAGATCCAGTGCTGCAGTGCTATCGGCCACATTCGAATTGGGATGACAAGGGCGAATAGCGAGAGACTAGCTAGTGCGCTGGACGGTCCCACTCGGAGCTATTTTTTAAGTGTCGTTAGAACAAAATGGTTGCTTCATGGTGTACAGCAAACAAACCAGTAAGAAGATGATCAGACAACATCAGTAAATCACAAATTTCTCCACAGAATGTACACAAATCATGTTCCCACGACAGTGAGCCACAGAGTCCACAGTTCCGCCAAAGTCACAGCCAACAGTGGCTGCAAAGTATACATTGTCTCCAGTTACTCACAGTTCTACAGTATAATTCAAGAATTTATCAACTAATATAGGTAGTAGTTACATAGTACTTTTCTCTAGGTCTATACGACTCAGTTTCGTACGATATGACTTGGCTTCAAATTGAATGATCAAACTTAAACAGCCGCAGTGAAGATAGTTTAAGATCTGAGTGAGACGCATATGTTCATTCACGCCTGAGAGGACATACAACAAATAACACTGCATAGCGAAATATTCATGCAACAACAGCATATACATAAGTTGAGTATCATAATAATGTGAAGAGGGAGCACTCGGATCAATCAAGCTGGACGGTGAGGTGACAACCACGTTCAGTATCTTCTACTGGGATAATCAACCTCCTGCATCAAGTTTCGTATCGTTAGCTTACCAGTTTGTAGGCGGCCATCGCGTGTTTGAGTCGGATGAGGAAAATGACTCCATCCATTCTTCTTAAATGCGATTCGCATGCACCCTAATCCAACATCCGCGTCCTCCAGTCGTTTTTTCTGCTTCTTCAGCTCGATATCGGAGTAAGTTTGCCAACACTTCGTTCTCGCGTATTATACAGTCCGCCAGTGTCTTTTGCGCTAGATAAACTTGCCGCTTAGCTCTTACAAGGTCCAACACCAGGTTGGCCTCAGAGTTGGTTGGATCCTGTATGGACTGTTAAAATGTAAGGTACATCGAAAAAGCGAATTTCAAGATCGACATCACCAAGGAATTGACAGAATGAAGAACATTGTATATGTCATATGCACCCGATGGTCCTTCGCGATGATGTAAACGGGAGATCTGCTCGTCCATCCCTGATGCGCGTGCTGATAGAGATCGCAGTTTGGTTATGTTCATGGTAGTATTGTTTAAGTCAGTATCGGAAAATGCCGAAATATCGATCAGAAGGTTAATGATGACTGTCGTATGTCTCACCCTTACCCTTATGCCTCAATGTCCATCGTGCGGAAAAATTCTGAAGGACCACACATCTGTCGCTCGCCATATGAGCCAGCCCCGGTCTGGCTGCAACACGTGGCTAGAAGATATCATCAAGCTTAATTCAAAAGTGAAGGAATCAGGTGATGGGCCTAGAGCCACTCAACTAGGCTGGTATGGTCCACGATGGAAAAACTTCCTTGAGGTTACGAAGAGCGAGTGCCGCGCCCAACACGCGATAGAGAACCCATTCCCCAAACTAGCGAAAGATTTGACAGGTTCCATCAACGAGATACTCATGGCTTCGCTCGTCGAATGGCTCGAGGGTGGTCAACAAGTCGAAGAGGGTAGGTCTTTTTTGCTGTCGAGATATTTTACTGACGTGTCTACCAGGTATTTGGCCTGATCGCAAGCATGATATGGCAAAAATGGTGTGTGCATTCATTGGCACGCATCCGATATCTAACGTGCTGTTATGTTAGCTGTATGAGGATTTATCAACGTGGCGCTCGGACCTCAAGAAGACCGTTGCCAGTATTGTGCCCTCCATGTACGACCTCATACCTCCATCTCATGTCCCACCCCAACAACGTGCTGCCTGGGTTGAAGAAGCTGCCACGGAGTTGCTCAAAGACGCTATTTTCTTATGCAACGGTGTAGATGAAAATGGGAAAACCGAAAACGCCTCTCATCCTGTGCTCCGCGAGGCTTCTATCTCTTTCTTCTATACAGGGTCTTACCGTGTTGCTCGCAGGAGACCTGAGGTCTTCCAGAAGTCTTTACCGCTAGAGTGCTTGGCACTGGTTTGCACCGCGGTATTTTTTCGTCCTTCCATGTCCTACTAACAACACACTGACCACATGTTTGATAGGTTAATTGTGTCCTAGATGGCTTTGCTAAGAACGGCAGCGGAAAATCATTTCCGAAGTTCACCGCAAAGGAATACTCTTCTTTGTATACTGCTATGCTCACTAACCTGGAATCGATCATGCGTGACCCTTACCATGGACCGAAATTAGCGCAGCAACTTCGTTCCTGGGCTGCAGCTGGATGGCAAGGAGTTTTTGCTTTCGAAGTATTGCATGCTGATGAAGTTCTCACAGGGCGGAGTCCTACAAAGTCGACGGCAATGTGAATGACGCTTCGAGACATTCTCATTTGAAAATCATCCTTGATTGACGTCTTTCTATTCTTGACATTATTGCCCCGCATTGATTCTATCTCGAGCGTCGTTTAGTGTAGTATGCATCTGATTGAATGCTATTATTGATTTTGTCGATTTTTTGCTTGTGTGTACATGTGTGAACAGTCGAGCAGCTAGCAGCAGCGGCACAATTATATTTTATTGGTACAAGAGCCCTTCTCTGGGTGTCTGTGAGTTATCTGTACAGAGATCTACAGAGTGAAGTAGTACTGTAGTGAGCTGTATAGAAGGGACCAAGCTGTCGGCCTGTCACACTGTACAGTTCTGTACAGTTCTGTACAGAACCGAGTGATTTACTGATGCAATAACATTTGTTCAAAATATTAAAGTCGAAGGAGTTGCATATACTCACTTGCATGCTAGTGGCGAGCGGTCAAGCTGTAGTTCGTCGATGGCATCAATCCCAAATGATAAGGACAGTTGAGGATATGCTGAGTGGGGCAAAATGAGTGGTAAGATAAGACGGGAGTAGTGTGAAAAGGGGAGCCTGAATAAAGCTGAGGTAGTCATAACTACAATGGTATGGTTAGTTATATGAGTCGCTGGTTATATAGTCGGATCTCTCTCAGCTCTTTCCGTCAGCACACTCAAGTGGCTGGCGGCTAAGGAGAACATCAGCATGGGACGATCGGAGAAACAGAAGGCCACCTGAGGCGCCGATTCCAATTCCAGTTCCAGTTCCTTCTATTCAAATCGTGTTCTAGATATGTATCAATCTCTCATGTGGGACCAGCCCTTTCTACGCGGCTAAGTATGAGGAAGACTAGACCTAATGTCCATCAACAACACGAAGGTCTCCGATGGACTGTGTGACGTAGTCGGGTACTATTGGTGAAGCGTTTGGGCCGGTGATATCTTGCTTCGACGTGATGCCTACAAACCACAAGTTCATTACAAGGACTGATTGTTGAATTTGGAAACGCACCCGTCAGAACAAGGAGCGTTGCCAGACCCCCAGCTTGTCCGAACAAAATATCAGTGTTTAACCGATCCCCAATCATTATCGTGCGTTCCGGATCGAATTTCACCCTATCATAAACGCAGGATCGCGATGATTTCCCGTCAATCAAACACACCAGAAAGCTAGCTAAGACGGAGAAACGTACTTGGCTTGAATACAATCCAACATCGTCTTCGCAGGCTTCCCAATACTTATCGGATCCCTCTCCAGTGCAAAGCGTAATGGAGCGCTGATAGCTCCTGCTCCAGGTAAGAGACCATCAGCGCTTGGGAACGTGCTGTCTTCGTTGGTGACTAGGAATCGACAGCCAGGGTTTCGTGTGAGGTATTGGAATGCTTTTGATATTTTGGTATAGTTCACGCTGAGGTCTAGGCCGCAGAGGACGGCTTGGACGTCTGGGTCAAGGGAGAAAGATGAAAGGGAGAATGGTTCGAGGGTGCAATCTGCTGGGTCCTGGGTGTGTGCATGCGTGTGAGTGAGTGAGTTTGGGTAGCGAGTGGGGGGCCGGAGCAGGAGCAGGGAAGGGATAACGACATACCGTTCCACCAATGAAAGAAACGCCCTCCTCCCTCAGCTCCTCTTCGATGCCTGCCATCCCGATCACATACACCTTCTTATCTTTTGGAAGTTTCATGACGGAGGATATGTAAACCGCGGAAGCGTATGCTGATCCGTATATCTCTTCCTACAACCCATCGCATCGCATCAATCAGGAAACGACCTTTGAATCCATCAAGCCTCAATCTGAACGAGACCCACCACACTTGCTTCCACGCCCAACTGATCAAACTTGGCTTTATAACTCTTCCTCGACTTGCTAGCGTTATTGGTGACGAAAAGAATTCGCTTTCCTTCATAACATCCGTATCAAAAGATCGTAATCGTAATCGTTATTTTCAATATCAGGTACTATACACCCCTAGCACGCACCTCGCTTCCGAAGGATCTCCAAAACCTCCACGGCCCCTTCAATCAACCGATCGCCGTGCCATAATACGCCGTCGCAGTCGAACATCCATGTGTCATATCTATCGATTAAGAGGGAGTATTCTGGGCGGGTTGTGAGGTGTGTGGGCATGATGGTAGGCGTGGTGGGGGCGGGGGCGAGGGATTCCGTGGTACATGATCTCACGAACATTCCAAACTGCTTGATATACTAGAATTGCCTTATTGAGAACGAATAGTTCTTGTCTCATACGACGATGCGAGGCAAATATCATGCATGATGCTGACCGGTTTTGAGTCTATGGGAGGGCTTCTTAAGTTGTGTCGATACCCAACTTACACTTGCCTTATACCGGCCATGTTGACCTGCAAGGTGCACTATCATATATTCCTCATTCTGTTGTGGCTTTCCACGATTGTCCATGCCATAATACCTGTGAGGATCCCCAGTCCGATATCTCACCACGTCAAGGTCAGCTCCCTCCTATGCATCACCTAAAACTTACTCTGACACACTTGCACATGTAGCGCGGATAGGCTCCAATTTACCTTGTTTAAATTGGTATCGCGATGGGGCCAAATCCAAGGGCCATTGATCTGGGGCTTCGGCAGCTGGATTCGGGGCGGAGTTCAATCCAATTCAAACACCGCTTGATGTCGTGCGCTTATCGTCATTGCGCTGCTCACCACCACGAATGCATCCCGCCCGCCTCCCCACCACCTGCTGTTGGAATGCTACATTCGTGCTCTCAAAATGCACATGAATAGTACCCCTTGTTGCCCATGAGCTACCCACCCGCCCTTCTTACCCACCTACCATCTTCCTTTCCTACCTGCGCGACCACCTGCGCGCCCACCATGTTCCCTGTCAGCATGTACACACCTGATAGCCGTCACTATGTCTTCATTACAGGAAGCAGATCTCACTTTTCTTACACTCTTATCCCCGCGGGAAAGTTCAATTGACCTTGTCATTGATTGTACCACTTGCTGCGGCGCTGTCCTAATCACAATATGTGTCAGTGACCAGAACGGCAACTCGGGAAAGCCAATGGCGAGGGTACGTCCTCTGATCCGTGCGCAAGGGTTGACTGGTGTGCTAACTTCCCTGCCAGCATCCCTCATGCTTGTTCTTTTGATGGTTCCCTCATATTTTGAGCACGACACTTTCAATCCTTGGAAGTGCAGTTATTCTGCAAAATGCATTGGTCGGTATGTCTTCAAGCTCACTGACAATGTCCGCAGAATCTATACGCACGGCCCTAATTAGACCCTGGAGCGTGGAGACTTTGGCCCCAGAGTCCATGTAGAATAGCCCTGGAGTCGGCCATTTCCCGGACGTTGTCAAAAAACTCGCCAAGTACTGTTGTAGCGGGAATTGTCCGTCCCATAATCATAATGCGCATGAAGTTCGTTCATTAATATCTCCACCATTATGACCCCACAAATTTTCCCCGTGGTTTCAGACTTCTTGAGTTCTTACTGTTAAGAGTGCAGTCACTGACGTCTTTGGTGGCATCTCTTTGTGTATAGGAGTTGATGGCATATAGATGACTTTCGGTCGTACTCATTTTGAGTTTGAGAGGATTCTCGTAGATTCACCCCTCTGTCTTCGGCTGGAGCTCCGACATCCCTACTGCATCCTGCAGGGCACTATGACAACAAGATAATCCACGACCCCCAATTGTTTCATTACACTAATGAATGTTAACGTTTCAGCTTACAGGCTGTCTGTCGGCCTAAGACTAGTTTGCGTTTAATTCAATGGACACAAAACATGCCAGTAATAAGCGAATTGGGTGTTGGCGCCGTTACGATTTAGATTTAGAATGATGTTCTAAACGCTGCTGTAAGCCATCGATTCATCCACTATTACACTCAAGGTATCGTGGTGACCACGCAGTACCGCGTATCATTCCTTCAAGAGAGACTCCTTTCGGCTGGCATGTGTTATGTCCGACTCGGACTGTCCATTCCATCATGTGAGGCCTTTCTAAATTGTATTCTGCAAGCTTTTTGAACGAGACGAAAAACAACGGGTCGTAAGGACTTCAGTCATAGTTTATGCAGTCAGGTATTCGAGAAGTCCCTCTAATTTAAGGTCTTCAATACTCCAGCGGGGTGAAATTTGTTCACCATGACAGCCAAGCACTCAGAAACGAACTACTTAGCCTACATGTCGTGTCGTCAACCACGCTGCAGTGTGCACCAAGGCGAAAACGGAAATACGACTCACTGTACTAGTAGCCCAGTGGCCCGTCATCCAGTGTACATATGAACGCCTACGACGTCGGTGAGCCACGGGGTCAGATGAAAACTACTCATACTCACATCAGAGTCGCCAACTATTAGAGTCTGGCAATAATAGCCAGTGCAGCAATCTTCCAAAGCGCAGGAGTAGGGACAATCACTGTCATCACGGACAGCCATAGATGTTGTCAACTTGAAAGCAGAAACAACGGCGAGGACGAAGGAGAGACGCATTGTTTATGAGATGTGATATGGGACTCCACAAACAGATCTGAAGGGAACGGTAGGAAGACAGCTTGCTTTTATGTCCTGAATAATGTTCTGTGCATAACCTGTCCACCTGAAATACTCCTTCAGACAAATGTCATTTGCATTGCCAACACATTGCCAGCAGACTTCAGGTTGTTGAACTTGCTCTTTGCCCGAAATTCTCCTGGCAGAAGAACACTTGGAAATATGTAATTCCAACCCGCTGTTGCATACGGCCGGCCGCCTACAATAAGTGACACGGCGATCCCTGGAGCTGGGGTCAGGGGTCACATGGATACTGAGAGAAATTCAGAGTCTCATCATTGGGGAACGCGAAACCGGATGTTGGGAGATCAGCAGCTGACTTAGGAGATCTAAATTCAAAAGAAGAGTGCTCCCCAGGTATATTGTTATTTTCGGAACGCACACTATGCGGTGGTGGTCTTGCTGGACCTGCTAGACCCCAACCACGTAGGTGATCGACAAAACCCCGAACCAAGTACTGCCAGGAAATTTGCATGCTCCTTTTGACAGCGACTACAAGTGTATATATCCCGGCCATTTCCATAGCTTAGTCAGCACGCAGAATTTCCAATATATCTGTCGTAGCTTCACCTTATCCTATATCGTGGCTCACCTGCTCAGGCCTCAGGCCTTGCTCGGCGCCGCGCTGTCTCTGGGCTACGAGCACCGTGACTCTGTACTCTGTTTTAACGGGTGGTCCATCAAGCCGGACTTCGACAAAATCTCTAGCCTTGAATACGCAATGGCCGCTCACCAAACCTCGCACACCCGAGTGAAGAGCTGTCAAATTTTGCCGAAATGGTGATCTCTCTAACCTCAGCTTCTACTACTAGTAGCTGAGTGGACCATACAACGACTGCGAGATGGATTGGGACTGATCGTTCGCTTGTAATGGACGCTGATGGTTCGAGCCGCCAGGTGGTGCGGGCACGATCTGACAGCGCTTTGTAACGCCACGCAGTGAATAATCCAGTGTATTTGATCTTGAAAATGCAATTAACGAATCCATCGAAGGTCGAACCGTGACTTACTGTCCACCATACACAAAGAAACATGATAGGTAAATCGAGACGGTGTAGTCGAGAACAAAAGATGAGCTCTCCTTGAAGTGTCACCATTTCTTTCACCTTGCTTCTAATACCTCTACTGTGTCTATCACAGCCTAACACATGTGAAGCTCCTCATCACCTATCGACACTGACCTCCCAACAAGCGAGTAAGTGGCAAGCTAGACAGACTGGGCGGAGTGAAACACCTATGGACTTACAGGGATCCAATCAAGCCGCATAAACTGGCAGCGAATGAATATTCTGCTGCGGCCGTTGAGGGGGACCCTGCTAATAACGTGTAGGTATCAACCAATTGGTACGGGACACTCGAAATCTGACTAGTATGTTTAGTCAAAGGACATAAACAGATCCTCACCAAATGTGACAAAGGCGTTTTAAAATCCTGGGCAACGTACGGCAATGCTTCGATGGAGTACGATGATGACTTCCTCATGCGGGCGATGACAATATCCTCTTACTTCGGGACGTGCACCGGTCATAGTCTCCTCGCAGGGCAGGTGGACCTCGCACGTTCCTTTCTGGAGTATTGGCGCAGGATTGAGAAGATTTTACCTCTGTCTATGTATTCTTCCATTAATAACGATCGCAGCTCGAACTCTGACACCATCATGGACTCCTGTGCTCAGCAACAATGTCTCCCATGTTCCGCTGCCACTTTGTAATCGTCCAACTCTTGCATTATGGATGCACGTCATTCTTGCAATCACATTTCTCGCTTCCTGTCAATCGCATCTCCAAGTGTTTGGGTTGGTCTCCGAAGGAGACGTTACGTCGTGAGCTGCGCTTTTTTCTTTGTTTGTTCTCCTTCAATCCTCTAGCTTATCGATTGAGCCCACGAAGATTTGTTTATCCTCCTGTCTCATTTACCGCGATTCCAGATATTTCCTATTACTACCCTCATGCATACAAATATCATCCCCTTTCCATCTCCTCATCAAATATTGATCTACTCTCTTCCCCCGACACATCTAATCTTCTCCCGCTTAGCACCTTCGCGCTATGTCACGTTTGGTAGTGGCAGAGTCTGCGGCCTCGCCCAGGGAACTCTTGCTGTCAAGACATTAGTGTTCATCACACATAACAAGCTGCACTGTCGGAATGACTGACGATGGGTTCAAGGTCTGGATGACAGAGATGTCGTCGCGTAGACAGTGACAAAGACCTCGCCCAGAGATGTCTTGCTGTTAACATGCTGCACTGATGGGACAGGTGATGGGGTCGAATCGTCGATAATGCTGTCAACACGTTAGTATTGATCGCACTCAACACACTACACTGACACAGCAGTGGTTTGTGCCCACGGTTTTGCCCAATAAGGGTCACGTTTGGGATTGGCCTGTAAGTGGCTAGGAATATATTCAGTGGACCTGTTTGGTGGCTGTCTGAGAAAGACATAGACATACGATCTTGGAGGAAGAGAACTAGCAGCAAGACTAGGGACGGACGACGCAATGACTGCAAGAGCGACAAGGGCAGCAAAGTGCATGATGGTCGATGAGGAGTAAAGTTGTAAAATCGGATGAGCATGTATAGACGTTGGGTGACTGAGGAGTTGGCAATTGAGGTGCATGGGTTTTTAAACAGGAGAAGACTGTGGGCGACGCGACATATTGTGCCTTGTTCGGCAGGCTGCACACATTTCGACGGTTAGATATACTCCTTGAAACTCACCTGTTACATTACTGCGTTGATAAGTCTGTCATCTCCTGTAATCTAGAATGATGATATAATAAAGCCATCGGACAAAAAGATGTGAATGAAAATTGGCACTTCGAAGATATCGGTGACCCAAACTTGAAGCAAAGACCGACACCGCTCCAAACAGTCCAGCACATTCCAAAGTACAGTTCGGTATTGCCTACCGCACAGAATGTTTGTAGGAAATCTCAACAATAAAATCGGTTTGCAGGATGTGCTGCGCGTCATGATATAAGGGGTTGGTGAGACGATGACCCTAGGGCATTACGCATATTACAGTATCTCAGATCTTCTGTCTCTTCAAATTGCTGAGCGCTGCCCTTCCGACACTACTGGCATGCAGGCATGAGATCTCACTTCTATTTGAGGGCTGCTGTTGGTCTCTGTAGCGTTCAGGTCTTCTACTTTCTTTTTAATAGGGCTCGCCCGACACATCTCCTTGGTCTTCGTTTGTCCTAACAAATGACCATTGCAAGGTGCCTTCCTGCATTCTTGTTCTGATGTTAACATAATTTGTTTGCCTCTTCCCACCGCGGCAGTTTCGAGGTCCTTGAGTATAATTAGGCAGTGAGTGGAATGGACAAACATAGTCATTTTTGGCTGCCTGGCAACATACGGTTTCAGCTGGTGCTATACCAGGGATGACTGGAACAAGGTCCTGGTGTGGAGTGCCGAAGGTCCCTGTGTGATTAGAGCCCTGGCTCGAGTACTTATTCTGGATCCCTGTTATTTCGGCTTCACGCACTCAGCTGGACGAAATGATGTGCGGATTTTCAAAACGGCTGAGCATTGGCCATCTCCAAGTTAAAGTTGAAGTTCCCTTAACATGAAAGGCGTCATGAGGATCGTTATTTCACGATTTGAAAATACTAAGTAGTATGTGAGCTGCGACGTGCGTACTTCGCTTCCAAGGGATCCCCACTGCTTTCTGCTGCACCTTCGATCATCCACTGTGCCATAATGTGCCGTCGCTGTTGAACATACAGGGCCCGCGTTGTATTTGTCGAATAGGAGAGATTATTTACAATATTAATATTTTCTGGTGGGGTTTCGCTGATAGCAAGTATACGTGGGAACAACTTGGATGGTTGCATTTTTGACCAGTCCCATCCATCATGGAAATTTTTTTGTTTTGCCACTGGATGGGTCATCTGCGCTACCGTACTTCCCTTCTCAGACGACGATGCGAGGCACGATGACCGACTTCGAGGCGATATTGAGGCTGGGTGGTTTCATAGGTGTTTAAAGAAGAGCAGTCAGCATCGGTCTCTGCTGCGGCGTGACCCTAGCCAGAATCCTTAACCCTTGAAGCTTTGAAGCCTTGGGTACCTTATCTTTATCGTGATATGATTCATGCGACACTTTTTATAGTCTCCCTCTGAAAACCTTGATGCACTCAATTTGCAGGCGACCGACTCTGATGGTGCAAGCTAGCCTTGATGCTATCCTACCCCTTTATCATCTGTAACTCAATCTCATTTACTTCGTTGTTTTCCGAGAGTCCATGGGTCCATGGCATACCCGCCAGTATCTCCAGTTTCAATACACAACCACGTCATCTTCCTGTGCATCGCATACAAATTTTACACCTCGACTCTCCCTCGCTTCACTTCTCGGATTTTATTATTATTATTAAGTCAGTAGAAGCAGCTGGCGTTACTCTTCGTACTCTCTTCGTCGACTGTTGAGGCAAGCTCTGCTCTTTTAAAGACGTGATCTTCCCTTCAAAGGTGTAAATTGCCATCGCCTCTGTGTCGGCAATTCATCTCCAGAAAAGAATGAAGAATAGTGTGTTGTACCATAGGGTGTACAAGTGAATAGGTCTGATTTGAGAATGTGGAAATACCTAGAAGAATTTCAATAGATCCTAGGAACTAATGGTACTTTGAAGTTTGAAGTAGCGAAGCAGCATTAAAAAATATTTATCGACAAGCCTCAGCGGGAGTCTTCATGAAGACGCGAAATACGCATCATGAAGGCCCGGACCTCGCAGCATTCCTTTCTGGAGTATTGGTGCAGGATTGAAATTATTCTACCTCTGTCTATATGTATTCTTCCATTAGTAACGATCGCATTTCGAATTCTGACACTATCATGGACTCCTGTGCTCAGCAACGTCTCCCATGCTCCGCCCCCACTTTGTAATCGTCCTACTCTTGCATTATGGGCGCACGTCATTCTTGCAATTACATTTCTCGCTTCCTGTCAATCGCATCTCCAAGTGTTTGGGTTGGTCCCCGAAGGAGACGTTCAACGTCGTGAGCTGCGCTTTTTTGTTTGTTTGTTCTCCTTCAATCCTCTAGCGAATCGATTGAGCTCACAAAGATTTGTTTATCCTCCTTTCTCATTAACCGCGATTCCAGACATTCCTATCACTACCCTCATGCATATAAATATCATCCCCTTTCCATCTCTTCAAATATTGATCTAGTCTCTTCCCCCGACACATCTAATCTTCCCCCGCTGAGCACCTTCGCGCTATCATACAAAGACGTTAGCATTCATACATAACATGCTGCACTAGCAGGATAACTGACAGTGGGTACGAGTTCTGGATATTGAGTTTCCGCAAGTCTCAGACAGTCTCAGACACGTCATCGAAGTAAGGCCAAACTCGGACTGGAGGGGACCGCTGGATGGAGTCGTCAGTATCACGTTTGGTAGTGGCAGAGTCTGCGGCCTTGCCCAGGGATCTCTTGCTGTCAAGACGTTAGTGTTCATCACACATAACAAGCTGCACTATCGGAATGACTGACGATGGGTTCAAGTTCTGGATGACGGAGATGTCGTCACGTTTGGGGTAGACAGCGATGAAGGCGTCGCCCGGAGATGTCTTGCTGTCAACATGCTGCACTGATGGGACAGGTGACGGGGTCGAGTAATCGATAATGCTGTCAACACGTTAGTCTCAACACACTGCACTGACAGAGTAGTGGTTTGCCGTTAGTGCCCACATAGGGTCGCGTTTGGGATTAGCCTGTAAATGGCTAGGAATATATTCAGTGGGCCTGTTTGGTGGCTGTCTGAGAAAGACATTGACATACGAGCTTTGAGGAAGAAGAGTAGCAGCAAGACCAGGGACGGCCGATGCACTGACTGCAAGAACGACAAGGGCAGCAAAGTGCATCATGGTCGATGAGGAGTAAAGTTTTCAAAATTGGATGAGCGTGTATAAAGGTTGGGTGACTGAGGAGTTGGCAATCGAGGTGCATGGGTTTTTAAACAGGAGAAGACTGTGGGCGACGCGACATATTGTGCCTTGTTTCGCAGGTTGGACACATTTCACCGGTTGGATATACTCCTTGAAACTCACCTGTTACATTACTGCGTTGATAAGTCTGTCATCTCCTGCAATCTAGAATGACGACATAATTAAGCCGTCGGACATAAAAACGTGAATGAAAATTGGCCCTTCGAAGACATCGATGACCCCAACTTGAAGCAAAGACCGACGCCGCTCCAAACAGTCCAGCGCATTCCAAAGTACAGTTCGGTATTGCCTACCGCACAGAATGTTTGTAGGAAATCTCAACAATCCAATCGGTTTGCAAGATGTGCTGCGCATCATGATATAAGGGGTTGGTGAGACAATAACCCTAGGCCATTATACTTCAGATGCATATTACAGCATCTCATATCCTGTCTCTTGCTGAGCGCTGCCCTTCCGGCAGTACCGTACAGGCATAAAATCTCACTTCCATTTGTGGGCTGCTGTTGGTCTCTGTAGCGTTCCCAGGTCTTCTGCTTTCTTTTTAATAGGGCTCGCCCGACACGTCTCCTTGGTCTTCGTTTGTCCTAACAAATGACCATTGCAAGGTGCTTTCTTGTTCCGATGTTGACATATTTTGTTTGCCCCTTCCCACCGCGGCAGTTTCGAGGTTTTTGAGTATAATTAGACAGTGAGTGGAATGGACAAACATAGTCATTTTTGGCTGCTTGGCAACATACGGTTTCAGTTGGTGCTATACCGGGGATGACTGGAACAAGGTCCTAGTGTGGAGTGCTGAAGGTCCCTGTGTGATTGGAGCCCTGGCTGAGTCATCTCCAGAAAAGAATGAAGACCAGTGCGTTGTACCATAGGGTATACGAGTGAATAGGTCTGGTTTGAGGATGTGGAAATAGCTAGAAGAATTTCAATTTCAGATCATAGGAACTAATGGTACTTTGAAGTAGCGAAGCAGCATTTGAAAAGATTTATCATTAAGCCTCAGCGGGAATCTTCATGAAAGACGCGAAATACGCATCAAGGCCCCCAACGTGATCCAGTGGCACGATGGCTCCAACATAGCCACCAGGACGAACAGCAACCAGAGCGCCCTCAGGTCCCACTCCGTAATACGAGTAACCTTCTCCCCTGAAGTTACCAGTGGGATCTGTGTCATCGATAAACACCCTAAGAGCATTTCGATCAATATTATCGTACTTCACACAATTGAGCAAGCACTCACTTTGACCAATGAGAGCGAAGAAGCGTAGGGAGCAGAAAGAAATTAAATGTGTCCTTCTGGCCTTTGCTGATTGTGGTGATGTCAAATCGTGAGTTCCCATGCGTCGCGTAACGGTTCAGAAAGCTCTCGGGTTTCTGCATGTCCGTGACCATCGACTCAACCCTCGCTTGTTGAAGCGGATCGTTGAATTCACCAGTAAAAACAAGTAATTTGAAGAGGAAGTCCGAAGGAAGAAGATCCTGGAGCTCGAATGGCCATGCGTCTGCTGCACGCATGAATTTGTATGGAGGGACACGTTTACCGAGGATGAGACCACTAGCCAGCTCCTGGTTTCTGTCAGTTACTGCAACTGAAGGGCGATAATGTATCCCAAGGCCACTGGTGAAGTCAGTCTGGAAAGTCCTGCAATCTCGCGAGATTAGTAAGAGGGCAAACTGTTGGTAGCATAATCTCACTTCAAGAAATGTTCGGGTGAAACCCCATCGTTGTTCTGCTCAGTTAGAGGCTTGCCACAGAAAAGGGTGGTCCACATTTTATCAAACGCGATCAGGTCTAATGCGAATTTACGGCGCTCCGATTCATACTATCGGCGGGGCGTGAGCAAGTAGTCCAACAGTTGCACAACTTGAAGAGCTTGCCGTTGACAAAAGGGGCATGTCTGCCCACCCGCGAACAACTAGGGCAATTTCCAAGCTGAGAAAACGATTTAGCTTGATCGTGATAACAGGAAACGAAGACATACCTAGATTGTGGCTATCGTTGATACTTGCATTCATCCCTTGTCCTGAAAGTTGCATTGTAACCAGACCGGGGAAGGGGCCAGATTTAAGACGCTTACCTGCTTTCGGAGAGTGTGTGTGGCAAGCATCGCCAGTGATAAATACTCGATTTTTGATGGAAAATTTTGAGGCTAGTAGATGGAGTTGGCAAGACTCCCTTAGAAGGCGCTCTCCAAGTCCATAGCTCTATGTCCAGCTTGTTAATACCGAGTCTTAGTCAATCAGCAAGGAAGCGTTTTCACCTGCAAAACTTCGATAGTGCGGGGTGAAAGTCCATCACCCTCACCAGTAGTTAGCTTTACAGCCCTAACAGGAAGTCGAGTTTAAAGTAGGAATGGAAGGGATCGACCCACTAACTTTTGATCGACAATCCGAACATTCACTCTCGCATTTGCCAGAGCATTCGCGCACATGAGCCCAGCAGGGCCAGCACCAATAATGAGAACGTCGACTTCAGAGTGGCGTACGAACGGAGCAGGCATTGCGAAATAACTACAGCTTAGCAATGGGGAGGAGTGTGTCTTGATACAGGGGGTAAAGGCTAATCATCAACAACCAACACAAATGTCGAATGCGGTTCTTTCAGACGGTGGCAAAGCGGAAAAAAAACAGTTTTACAGACCGCTTCTGCGTATTGATGGATTGTTCCCTCATGTTGAGGTATTGCCTCCGGGTCAGCGAAGTCGAATACCGTGAACAGCACGGGAGCTCGTCATCGTTAAATGTGATTTGCCAGACAAAAAAAACGGATGAGAAAAATAACAACAGATAGCAAAGGGGCTTTGCACAGAAATACAAACAAACACATCACACGAATACTACGATTGCCTTTTTTAGAATCACCACTTAGCAAGTCCCCATCATGGTTTTTGCCAAATGATATATCACTCACTACGGGCGCTACTTTTCGTCTCAGACGACGATGCGAGGTCTGTGCATGATGACCGACCTCGAGGCAATGTTGAGACTGAGCTTCTTAGACGTTCAAAGGAGAATAGTCACAACCCCTAGTTCTACACAGTGCACCATCCTATGGTATGTTGAAAAATTTAACCCACCAGCGGTACCTTACCTCAATCGTGTTAATTTATTCATGCAACGCTTTCGTGATCTTTCCCTGCGAACACCTTGGCGCGTTCAATTACATGCGACTCCATTAATAGTGACTATGTGCTGCTCAAACGTCGGAAAAAAGTGCGCGACCTTATCTTCATTTGAATCCTTTCACATTAACCACAATATGGATACATAGTGATGATACCGAGAAGAAGATCGATAGCTTTGAGGCTAGTAAGGATTTTTGCTCCATTTTAGCGGACCCTTCCGAGGCATCGCGGTTTGAAAATGAAACAGACATCTATGATAACAGCATTGCAAACCTTTATGATGTATCTTCGGACCCGAACTAAAACTCTACCTAGCCAGGGAGTTCGCTAGTACAGGTATCATTATATCTGTTCAGGTACCGCTTTCGTCAGAGGAAGTCCACTGGGTCTCTGGTTTGGGCACTCCTTCATGGGCATAGTCTGTTACTTCGGCAGGAAAAATGGGTGCGATATCTCCCTCATAAGAAGGGTTTAGCAGGATATGCGACTCGATATGTCGACCCTGCCTTCGGCTTCACCCTTGGGTGGAATTATGTGTTCAAGTCCTTTATTCAGACTACGAAGAATGTTAAAGCGGTGGATGTCGTGGTATCGGACCTTATGTGAGTGTACCGATTGAAGCTTGAGCGGGTGGGTGCATCTTATGACAATTCGATTATGCAGATGACCTAATCCTAGCTTCAGTGATTTACATTGCACTGAGTACGACGTCTGTCTGATCGGGTTGTACTAGCTCAGCTAACGCATCTTACATCAGTCTTCCTCATCAACTTGTTGGGCATTTGCGTCTTTGGCGAATTCGAATTCTGGTTCTGCAGCATCAAAGTCGTCGCTTTAGTCGGTCTCTCATCTTGACCTCGGTGGTAATCTCCAGGGTTTTGCAGGATATGCGACTTGGTATGTCGATCCTGCTTTCGGTTTTGCCCTTGGGTGGAATTATGTATTCGAGTTCTTTATTCAGACTACGAAGAATGTTGAAGCGGTGAGCGCTGTGGTGTAGTATTGGTCTTCAAGTGTGCTTGGGTGGGTGCATCTTTTGATAATTCAATTATGCAGATAACCTGATCCTGGTTTCAGTGGTTTACGTTGCGCTGAGTACGACGTCTGTCCGATCGGGTCGTACTAGCCCAGCTAACGCGTCTTACATCAGTCTTCCTCATCAACTTGTTGGGCATTCGCGTCTTTGGCGAATTCAAATTCTGATTCTGCAGCATCAAAGACGTCCCTTTAGTTGGTCTCATCTTGAAGGGACTCATTATCGACCTCAGTGGTAATGTCCAACACGATCGCATTGGCTTCAGATAGTGGAGAGCACCCTACCGACCCCTCCGTAAATCTCTTCTTGGTGAAGTACATGACTCTCGCGTCGCTCACTTTCTTGGATTCTGGAGCAACCTTACCACAGCTTTGTTTTCGTACATCGATATAGAATTGATTGGCATGATCATAGGCGAAACAGAAAATCCGAGGAGAAATGTGCCAAGGGCTGTGCGACTCTGGAATCTAACATCCCATTGATTAGCGACAACCATTGTCGGTATCAAAGTCCTGAACCATATCATCAACGCCGTGTTGTTAATTTTTGTACTCAGTTTGTTAAACTCAGACCTCTATCGGCTCCAGGACGCTCTACGGCCTCGCTGTGGAACGCAAGGCACCTCGCATATTCGCCAGGGTCGACCGCGCTGGGGTTCCTCGGCCTTCGCTCATTCTGAACACTTTGGTCTGCTTCTTGACATTCCTTAATGCAACCTCGTTGAGTTCTGTCGGTAATGAATTTCGTCTGTTCATCGCTTGTAAAATATTGATCTTGTTCGGTAGCGTTCGGCTGCTTCTCAAGCTTTATTGCAAGCTTTGACACTATTACGTGGATGTGTATATTTTATACTCACACGTATGTTGCTCTGCTGAGCTACTCGGAGTTGTCGTTTTCTGATTTAATTACTTTCAACGCCTTCATGTGCGCGTTGAAAGCTCAAAGAATAAATTAAAACATTTTCCCTTACAAGGCACCCTTCCAGCCATACACTGGTTTGCCTTGATTATCACAGACATCATGCTCTTTTTCAACGGTAGCAACTATCTGAGCCTATCTGTAGAATTGACGCTAATCACATCAAACAGTTTCAGCGCTCTTCTGTCTTTTGTATCGTCATGATTTATCACGTCAGTGGCCATCGTGATCGTGATCTCCCGGAATACTAATTACAGTCCAGATCTTACATCGTCATCCGATCTTTTTTTCCGAATACTAGTTTACTGCCGCACTTCAACAATCCCCGCTACTAGTAGCGAAGCTAGAAAACGTGGAATTGATCTTGAAGAACGAACCTTGCTCGGGAAAGCCCAGAGGTCCATGTTCTTGATTACAGAGAATTTGGGATGCACTCTGAACGGTCTCCGGTACCACTGAAACAGCAAGTCTTCCCAGCTCCGAGTCTCCAAAAAGGCATCCATAAAACAAAGTTTTCGCCTCCATGTGTTATTGACACGCCAAAGCCTCAAATTAGTGCACATTTGGTTATCACGAGTCCCGTATTTACTTCGGTTTGTATTGAGTGCGAGATAAGATATAACCTACTTGTGAACGTTAAGGTTTGCGCGGCGTTTCATGTCGTTCAGGGGCTCAAATGAGGTCCTATGTCGCGAAGGGCGGTTCGCGCGCGGGAAAAAAGTCATTGGCTCAATCCCGGCGCTGTGCTGATTTCCGGCCTGAAACACGGGACAGGGAGATAGTGGAATGTATGCGTGGCTTCTTGCTTCCAATCATGCGTCGTGATGGGGCCACATGGCCCATCCGCATCAATCTTTTACTACTAATTTGGGTATTTGGGCGCCCAAACGGTGTCTCCTTGGGCTGGTGGCGCCGGATGCCGCTGCCAATCGCTGAACTTTGTGAGGGATCATTCTGATTGCCCTTGATATGCCTTCCTTGGATTTGATACTGGGGCCCGGGGAACGTGCATACAGCTAAATGCATACATGGCATGAAACAGGAGTAAAGAATAGACACGGCGAATTTATCATAATGTTCCTAGTAGGCGACATGCCTGAATGAGAGTATAAGTGACCCTATTCTCTTTGGAACCTCCTTTTGCGTAGCCCTCAGGGTCGACGGGTGTCTCGGAACCTGATTTTTTATGGAGCAGGGGTCGCGGCGCCTGTTAGGCTTGTTTGTGTCTTCGCTGCCAATCGCCTCCTCCTTACGGCCATGGAGTAGGCGTGCGGATCGAAAGCGTCCACATAGAGGCGCCTGCCAACTTCTTTTCTGATAACGTCTTCAATCTTCCCCATGAAAACTTTGTTTTGCCCAAGGCGGATGTAAACCACAGACGACAAAAGGCTACGATCTCCGGCGGACAATGACATTCCAATACCTCTCGCCTGGTTCAGGAAGTTGGAAGGATATTTAGCTTCTCGGGCACATCGACATGCAGGCGAAAATTCGTAGTCTTCCATGATCTCTGGGGACCAGGTCGTAAGTCCACACATGGGAATCTGATTGAGCAAATTTTGGTTCAGCGCGGCAGCTCCAACGCCATCCAATTGGTTCAATTCATCCCACTGAAGGGTATCGGCTGGAAGTCAGCAATTTCCGAACGGCGGGAGCGAATTGCTCCTTACATCCCGGATGTCAGTTACTAGCAAAGAAGTGTTCAAAGAGTTTTGGCGGATGTAATTGATGCATGATTGGATCGTCTTGATGCCAGGGTGGCCGGGAGTAATTGGGTGTTCGACTTCGCCTACATCTTTCTTTTCGAACCATGTCATGATCTGACAGAAGAAGTAATTTTGAGCGGTGGATTAATTGCATGTGATGCCGAGGTACTTACTGGAGCGACATTCATACTCAGCATAGTCGCCCCAGCTTCGATACAGGCGCAAGCATGTGCAAGGGAGGTCACCATTGAGAGATGTATACCTATTGAGTATTGCTTAGTGAGTTCGCGTGCGGCACGGATACCCTCCTCTGTCGCTGGCAGCTAAGGACGGTCAAAGGAAGGCTGTACACATGGCTGGAAGCACATTACCGTGATGACAACTCTCCATCGTCGGACATCAGCACGGTCAAAAAGGTCAACGAGGGCGCGGGCTTCGTCCACCATGGCAGCCTTGCAGTCGTGCAACCGCGAATTTATGAAAATCACCACAGGGCCCTTGACGGCACCTAACATGGCCAGACCGAGTTCAAAAAGCTGTAAGACTGTCAGTGAGCCTTCACGCAGGGTAGAAGTCTAACCCACGAATTGTCGAAGCACGAGCCTCACATATAACGTTCTTGGACCTTGTCTATTATATGATCGCTGAGGAACGTGCCAGAAATATAGGTAACCAAATACTAACGGAAATTTTTCGAGCACTTTCTTAGTGGCGACCCAGACATGATAACGGATGCCAACCGTATCTATCAGGTCACTGACATTCTTCGGGGTGAGCAAGCAACCCCAAACGCCACGAAGATACAATGCTGGCCACAACTTCAGTCAATCACATCCTGTAACACAGCAAGGGGGACACACCCATGATATCAGCTGTATCGCCGTAGATCGGTACATCCTTGTAAGGAAACGAGGGAACAACCCCCATTTCCTTTGCCTCGTTGGAAGAGGGCTCAGGTAGGGCCTCGTAGTGAGTGCTCATCCACAGGTCTAACTTAACCTTGTCTTCCCTCGAGATCGGGTAAGTTCCCTGCCAGTGGTATTTGGTCCGACGGGGTGTTTGCGGATGGTACACACATTCACCGGTAGTTGCGCTAGGGACGGTCATTTTGTGAGATAGGTAACGTTCCCTGCATCCCCGACCAGCTTTTTAAACCAGCCCCGGGCCAACGTCCACAAAACGCTGCGGACAGACCACTGTGGCTCATTGTCGTACTGGCGGGTTCGATGCTTTGACAACATTCACAAATGGCATTATGATGCCTGTACACAGTGGTTCATTGCCCATATGTCTGAAACGCGTCAAAGGGAGATAAAGAGAAGGCACCATCCGTTTCATTCTCGAGCTGCGCAGACACGTTCTGACAGATTTGAATGGCTTTGACACGTTTTGTTGGCTCGGTGATATATTCTTCGGATCATCATTAACCGATCATCGAAGGCAATAGCCAACCGCAGTATCAACGATTAAAAATTAACACTGGCGTGGGCGTAGGACTCCTCAGAAATGGGGTGCTGCATGCCATGGTCACCGTCGACCCCAGAGTATGACTATCAGCTATCAGTACACGGAGCTGTAAGCCAATCGTTTCGTGGGTCGAAAAGCTCCGCTAAAACTGCTAGTTGCAGGTAGTAGCGACGCGCGGCCGGCGAAGGGTATGTCGCTTTAACCGGAGAAGGGCCTCGAATCGGCGTTAGTCCGAGTCCAGAACCTGATGTCTTCATCAATCATCAATCATGGGACCCAGCGAATCCGATGCACGTCCAAAGGAAGCCCGAAGCTCGAGTCGAGCTGTTCGCAGAGTCCGTAGATGAAGAGGGCAGTGATTTTTAGAGGTAAAGGGGTCTCGAATTATGCCCGAGCGAGTATCCGTTTCCATCAGAATGTTCACCGCCTTGATTGTTCTAGTGTGTATTTGGCGCTTGGGATAATATGAATATTTAAAAATTGCTATGGACGGCAACGTGAAGAGATGCTGTGGAGCGCCCGGGGTGGTCAGCTCTTGCCAACTCGAACGAGAGCTTTGAAGTTCGCTGAGCTTTTGGAACAGGTGTACGAAAGGATATACGTAACAGTCATCGAAGAATCTGGCAGATCATTTGAAACAGCCGCGAAGACCAAATTGACGGGGTTACCAAAACCGCATCAACGCTCAGTTTGATCGAAGCGATGCAAAATTGATAGGGACCGTAGGTACTAGTCCAACAATAATACCCATAACACCCCTACTTAGATTACAATAAGTATCAAGTATTATACAATTCATGCACATATATCCACTAGAATGCGTTATAACTTTTTACAGTGGCGAAGCTAAGTATTAGAAGTAGTAGGTTGTCGTAGACTCTAGAATGACAAAGAAAAAAATAGCGATGCGGCAAAGAGAGCTAGTCGAAATGCAGCGAGACAATGATAGCAATAGAGCGGGGGGTATCATCTAAACCGATCAATGGAGAAGAAGAGAACAATCGCATTTCGGTTCTACCGATGAACCTGGGCGCGCTCGGCCGAATAAGCATGCCAGTTATCCACTTCAGCTTCTGGTACGGTTTGGGCAAATGGAGGGAGGGTGGTGTGATAATGGTTGGAGGGCCCATTATGATTATGATGGTTTGATGACTGTAAAAACAAGTCAACGGACGGATGCGAGATTGATTCCGTACAACTTACGCTGTAATGATCGTCCTCAACCTTGACGGATCCGTAATGATTGGAATGGTAGCTGCTGGGAAGCGGGTGATGCGATAATGAACTTGGACGACTGTTAACCGGGGAATGCGATGAGTGTTGCATTTGGGAAGGCTGCTGGTGGGTGAAACAGAAAACAAATGGTCACTAGGATCCAGAGAGTTCTCATAGAGAATGGAGGACATTACGTCACTCGCGCAAGGAAAAAGCACTCGCCGAAAAGGAGGACTTGAAGTTGAACTTGATCCGGACGGGGTATGAGGAATATGATGAAAAGCGGGAGCATGCAAATTAAAGAGCGAGGAGGAGTTGCCTGAAACACCGCCATGACCAGATGTGCCATTGTGGGAGGGTATATTGCCATACTGGTGATGGGAAATTGGCTGCGGAATGGTAAGTGGAGGGGGACGATCACCATGAGGGGCGTCTTGCGGCTAGGTAAAAGGCGTTGTCAGACTATTAATGGTGTGTTGAGGTAGAGTAACAACGCACCATGTAGAGGTCATCCATTTTCCGTTTCTTGAAGTCGCGGGTCACAGTTACGATTGTCATGGAAGTTGGACATGGAGTGTCGACGATAGTCAGAGGATAAATGGCCAGCTCGATGGTCAGCTTCCAAGAGACGTCTCATTTCTTCATTTTCTTTCTGCAAGCGGGTGTTTTCTTGCTCGAGTTCACGAATCTTGACCAAGGGTGGGGGTAAAGCCGCCACTTGGTCTGGAGTGAAGCCCAAAGCGGTTTGTAGTTTGGTGACAGTCTGCTCAAGCTGAAAAAAAGGAAAAAGTTAGAAAACGCGGTATGTTCGCGTGGTAAAGCGCGAGAGTACTGACCTGCTCAATGTAAGCCTTTCGCTTTGCACGATGGCGAGCTTGAGCTTTAGCATTACGGCTGCGCTCTGGACGATCGGGTTGTGACGAGACAGATTCAGCAGCGGAGTGCGCCATCGAGGACATGTAACGTTATAACGTAAACTATGAGAGAGGAAGGATAGTTCGGGGTTGTAAAAAAAAAGATTGGACGGTTATTATAGTTGGCGTACGTTGAAAGGACTCCACTCAGACGCCCAAGGGTGCATCGCAACTATTCCAAAAGAATTCAGTGCCTCGGATTCCGAATTATTCGCTTTGAAAAGTCAGCCGACATGTCTTCAATGCGACCCTGGTGGCAAGCTTGATTCCTTGCAATCTTGAATCAAATCTTAAACGAACCTTCTCATAGTCTTTGAATGTAATGCAAGGCAACGCAAAGACAGTCACGGAAATCCTTTGATCAATTATTTCACTTTCACCGGGGGGTAGTCCAACCTAGTACTGCAACTTACCTTCCTTCTGTTGAAAGATAATAATTTTTCACAAGAGAGTTTCCCCGTCGCGGCAATTTGCGGTTGTTCCATCAGGCTAATGCCGCTGTGCCTTAGGGATGCGTTCGTGTGTTGATCCCCGATCAACAAAAAATATAATATAATCTACTTCCGCGTGTTCAAAAAATGCCCATTTCAATCTACTCAAATTTTAAACTCAGAACTCCGCGATACTCCGCCACGTCTCCACATCTTTCGTTATTGCGAAGTGTTCGCTGAGATCATCGAGTATCATAGCGTACGTGCAAAAAACTAAAAATCTTTGTACAAGCAGGGCGAACCCAACCCTCGGATATCCACGGATCTGCTTCGCACATGTCACCTGAACCCGACATTCAGGGACCCCGTATTGCTCCGTCTATCATAAAATCGAAGCTCTCCTCAATACATGCAATATTATGTCTAGTATTTCTCTTCCCCACAAGTCAAACTCAAATTGCACACTTGACAGTTATCGGCCAAGTACCACCTGCCAAAACAATTGAGCGGTTATCAACTTCCGCTCTATGGGAAATGCTGAGGTGCCAATCACCTGCCACCTCGGCTAAATATCGGTACACAATTAATCGAAAATTCTTAGCCAAGGAACATAACCGAACAGGTATCTTTCGGTGAGATCCGGTTCCGACCGTCCTCCTCTAGTCCATGTACTAGTTCTATTCTTTTTGACAAGGTAACTAAGCCGTTCACAACAAAAAACGCGACAGTCTGCCAGTATCACACCTCCGTGATTGACGGAGCCTATATACCCATCGCAATAAAGTATCTGGTACTAACCATATCCTGAACCCCACCAATTCAATCGGCAAACCCCGTCCAAAAGTCCTCCCACGCGAAGGCTGTGCAAGTCTCTTCACGCCAAACTTCTCTCCGATCCAAGCCTCTGGTGATCTTCATTTATTAGCCAACCTAGGTATGTCTGCCGCATTAATGTCCTGCATTTGTACGTAATGATACTCCCATCCAACGCCTCATAGTCGCGTTCGAGGGTCCCTCCAATATATACCCAGCCGCTGGGTATCTCAGGTTCAACCTAATAATAATCGCCGCGAAGCCCTAACAATCGTACACACGGACCCATTTTGCGACTGGCACCACTGCTCGAGCGCTTTGCATCCCTGCGGTTCGGAATATCCAATATAGGCATCTAAGACCCGAAGGGCGAGCAGCTCGCCCATTCAACCCCCATACATAATATCTAATGCGGTTCCAAATATGATAGGCGCAAGGCGTGGAACATTCCACAATACGATATGGGGTCGCGCCTCGGTGGCCTGTGGCCGACCATCCTCCTTCCTCATTCGAGCTTCGTCGATTTATTTCTGGCCCCTCACTAAAGCTCACGCTAATTGATCGAGGCCGCCTGGCCTTCGCCATGTACATCATTGCATATTGCGATACCCAGGATGGTATACTTCCAAGATATCATGATATTCACATCCTGTAACACCGGACAATTTGGCTGCCACACCTCCGTTTGTGGTAGCATTAATCTTCACAATCCTGAGCTCTCGGATGTCGCGATCACCGGCAATTAAGCTATCTCGGGACTATCCTCTAGCCTCATGGAAAGCTCAAGGCATATCTAAGCGAGATGATGAAGTTTTACTTCCAAGATTTGCACGGGAAGAGGTATCAGGCTGAACTTCTCACTAGAGGTCAAAGAAGTAAATACTATTTGACTTCGGGACAATGTTTCTCCCAGCCTAGAGAATATGTATCTCCGAGTCGAATCCCGAAGGCAACTTTGAGATGAACGGTCATCATATGCGCCGGCGCCTCGTATGTAAGTATGAGCTCTTCGGGAAGGTTGTCAACTTTAATAATAATGCGGCCGCCAATTGTAACGGGGACAATTGATATAGGTCGCTACCTACTCCTTTTGCAATAGTAAAAGAGCACTTCGGAAAGGAGCAAGTACTTTTGCCTTGTACCACTACATTTAGCAAGTGACATCCGAGTCAACGCAACTAGATATATTTACCCATCACTGCGCTGTCTTGCAAAAGTGAAGCATCACAAACGGATCGATACCGACGAGCTCTACTCTGGTGCGGTCAACCGCCGGCTTAGACAATAGCAAAAAAGTTGACACGTTGGAAGCGGTTTGATCGCAGCACCAAGTGCCTGTCTTCGCGTGGACTCCGCAACGCTCTATTCCACAAAGTTGGCAAGTCGGGTCCGGTTTCTGATATGATTGTGAAATGCAACGCATCCATTTTCTTTTGTCCACGTGCGACCATTTGTCGTCCTCATATCTGCAACGCTGGCTGATATCGATACTGTCGCTCGCAATTGCTATTGAACCGGGCAGGAGGTAACTGCGATGACAGCTCGCAGCTAGATGCCACTGACTTTATGGCCCCTATAGCTTCCGCGGACAAGACGCTGGAAACGAAAAAAGAAACACTGGTGAATAAATTACCGCTTCTCGAGCTTTTACGACGCATTTAATAGCGTTTGTGCAACACTTCAAAACATGAAGATAAATCAGTATTACATCTAAACGGGATGACGACAAGCATGACGGATGGATTGTTACAGTTCATCATCCTCGGAAAGGACCAACCGCCCCGTCCCGGTACGTCGAACGCCCGCTGTGTCCATCCCTGAATTGTCTTGGCTCTCGGCATCCGTTGACATTGCTTGCTTTGCAGAACGCTTTGGAACCGGCCGGGGTCTCGGGCGCGCCCTAGGTGCGGGCTGAGATTCTGGTGTACTAGAGCGACTTCTCCGCATGGTGCCGAAAATGTCATCTTCACCGTCTGAGACATTTTCATCGGCACTAGACTCTCCTGCCGGTTGATTCTCGGGGTTCCCTACCTTACCCTTCTTCCTAGCCTCAACATCTTTACCTTTTCTCCGCCGTTTTTTAGTTCCTGTCGCTCGCATGGTTCCGATCTTGCCACTTTGCGCGGCTGCCATGACAGCTTTATCTCTTAATGCCTTTTCCCTTTCGAGGAAGGCCTCCATATCACCGTACTCCGCATCGCTGTCCTCAATGAACTGTGCTGACTTGTATTGGGTTTCCTCCTTCTTTTTCTTCTCCCGTCTCTTGCGCTTGGGCTCGTCATCGTCAACAAGTTCGATATCAGAGTTAGAGGGTGATCGACGTCTTCGATGCCGACGGGGTTTCTTGCTCAAGAGCTGTGAAGCCTTCTTGCCATCAAGATCGATGGGATGCTGGAGGAATTGATCAATGACATTGAAGCTGCTCCGGAGATCAGAAGGAAGAATTGCTGCTGGAACGGTCCACTGCAATTCGTCGCCATCTATGAACTGATCAGCTTGTTACTGCTCAAACTTTCGCGAGAGAACGAACCATCATCATAAATAGTGAACTTTAACAGGCGAAACATGAGCTTCAATATCGAATTCTTCGTTGCGGCTTCCGCATGTTCATCGCTGATGTATGGTATCACTGACAAGGCGTTAGTGCAGAGTGAAAATCGACCAGAGTCACCTACAGTAATCAATAAATTTGGAGATTGCTTCTGCAGAGGGAGTTAGCTTCTTCTGTTCATCATCGTCCAGGTCAGTGTCTTCGTCTTTGGGCTTATCATCCGTCTCCTCGATGATGTTATTGCGCTGACGAATGACTAGCACCAGGATCTTTACAATCGAGGAATGATCAGGGAGTGATCCGGTGAAGATGATTGATATGATTACGAACGTCTTTGACCCATTCTACCAGTTCTGTCTTCCCATCGTCCACTAGGGCCGCTATTGCAATTCCGATTTGCTCGCTCCAAGAGTATCCCTTCTTGACTTGCACCTCGGGAGGGAATCTGGTATCTTCTACTGTCTCGCGTTCATGGCGGCCTTTCTGTTCCGGTTCCCAGCTCGAGTACAGTTTCCAGTGTCCGCGGTTCTTGGGGAAGAATGCCTGATTCAGATTGAGATAGATAAGCATTGTGAGCGTTGGCACGTGAGATAACAAATATGAAAACCTCACCTCCACCGCGAGGAATGGCTCTCCTTCCAACGCCTTGAAGAACCTGTGTAAAATGAAATTGACCAATTTCACAAGGTCCTTGGACGACTGATCTTTCGGCAACGACTTTTGATCATCCAGAATTACTTTGAAAAGATTGAGTGTCGAAACCTACAAGAAGTTGTATGCCAAGAAACAAATAACACATAACTGCAACGTACATTGAAATACAGCCCTTCTGCCTTAGCTTTGACGACTTGCCGGTGGATCAAGTTCACTGCCCTCTTCATGAACTCAGGGGAATCGAAGTCTCTGTAGCGAGAGAGATATGTCAGAAGGGTCTTGGTTATCTCCGAATTCGCAAATTTCTGCACATCAATCAACCGACTGTCAATCAATGTTCCGCTTCGGTCATGTGGCGCACCATTTCAAAGGCATCAAAGGTGAACATTGTCTCGTGGACGACCTCCTCCTCACTATCTCCATCAGGTTCGCTCTCGAAATCAGGCACACCATCTTCACCAGCTAGTCGCTGGCCTGCGATAACTTAAAATGACACTAAAGGTGGAGAATGCATGGCTCACCTGTGGTCTTCTTCCTCTTACCCGGCTTCTTTTTCCTGACGTACACTGCCCCGGTATTCTCTTTCCCCCACCGTTCCAACATCCGTAGCAAGGCGTAAGCGAGATGCACGCTGGCATTTAAATAGGCTAGTGATTGCGTCCCTTCCTTGTAAGATCGAAGGCTTTCGAGCGAGATATCAAGAACTTCGCCATTATAAATCAGCTGTTGTTGTAAGATAGCTGCAGCCTCATTGAGCTGAGGGTCGGAGATTACCGACGAAGACATGATGTCGATCAGGAGAAGGAGTTGAGTAAGGCATTCTATTCCCGCTTGCAGCTCGTTCCACATTTTTGGCTAAAAAATATGGCTCATGTGAGCCAGCGACCTGAATAGGCGATAGCTTTGACTTTTACGATACCTTTTCATCCATGGCTTGTCTCATCCGCTTCAGGACCCAAATGATCCACCCGCGGTCGGTAACTTCCGCGACTAGCCCGAGGTTCCATTTTCGCTGTCCTTCGACGGCTTTTTCGTTGGAGCGGGATGTAAGGAAAAATTCAAGGAACCACTTCGTGACGTAGAGCAACCGAAGATGATCCTTTTCTTTGATCTTCGGGCGTTCGGATTTGATGTCTTTGAGCAGAGAGCGGAGGAACGCTGCCGAGAGAATGATGAGGACTAGGAGTATGAAAAATGACTATACAAACGATTAAACGATGACTCCACAAATTCGCGGCCAAAACCCTGAAGGACTATCTTGGCTTCTACAGATAGATTGTCCTCGCGGGCTAATTCGTCAATTTTGTTGCTTTTCCGAGCCTTAGAACGCTTCGCAAAGTCGAGAACGCTCCCAGACTCCCGCGTGATAGCCGCTTGGCGATGAAGGACGAGCGGTCTGGAACCAGAGGCTGGATCGTTTGGACCTTCAGTGTCTGCATCTGGAGCTACTGGTTTCTTGCTCGGCTTAAGCTGGACGGAAATAGTTGTCCCAAAACGGGAGTGCCGTGAAGATGCATTCTTTGCCAAGTCTTTCTTTTTCTTGTCCTCTGCAGCAAGCAGCCGATGAAGGTTTTGCACTGGTTGCTGAAGTGACGTTAGGATGCAACAAAAAAAAATAAGAAGGGACTCCACTTTTGACTGGTCTATAGCCAGTAGATGAGGTTTTACGCCGCGGAATAACAGGTAGAATATCTCGAGTACAAGAGTATTTGATGCGTTGAAAAGAGAATCGTTGGACGTATTGGCAGCAATGGTTAGGAGCAAATCCAGTGTATGTGTTTCCGAGAGCGCTTTCACAAGTCTAGTCTGCAAACTCGAGTACTCCGCCTGGTCCGCGCTCAGGTGCGTATTTGCAGGGAGGTCCTTGATAAATATCAAGTTCCGGATGAGATGCAGAATCAGATTCACTATCTGTCCGTCACGCTCCTTCCTCTCCTTTGCGGGCTTTGAGATTGGCGGGAGAACGATCCCGAAGAGGGCTTGCATGACGCCTGGCGTCAGAAGCGCAGCCTTGTAATTGAGATGGCTGAACATCAACTGAGTATAGTCCGTCCCTTTATCAAGCTCCTCATCCAGCTCCTGTAGCTCTTCCGCCATATCAATTGGCCAGGTCATGGCGGTCATCAAGTCTGCACATGCGATAGCCCGCTTGTCTTCCACGAGTCCCTTGCCTGCAGTCGCCAACAATATCGGTACGAGGTCGTTTGGGAGGACCCGAGTCTCCCAAAATATGCGCGCCACCGTACGCTCATCATCTGTGTCGTCCTTCCGCCAGAGCTTCTTCAGATCTCGGAGACAACCGCTAACTTCATCGCCCATGCGGTAGGCGCCACCTTCGTAACCACCAAGTGCATCGACGACTCGTTGGACGACAGGCTCGAGAATAGCTCTTCTGTCGACTTCTTCCATGCCGAACTCATGGGATGAGTGAATAGAAACGACCTCGTCATCCATGGATGAGTGGTCCTGCGAGGCTCGAGCAGAATGAGTTACGCTCGACGCGAATGAACGGCACGGTCTGTCACACCACGTGATAAAAGTCACAGGTTTCGAGTTTACACAAATCTAATTAAATGAACGACACAGACTCGGCTCTACGAGGCACGTACATCAGTCGTACTCGGTATTATCCTCTCCGATTCACATGGTCCCCTCTCGCGTCGGGGACCTTATTGATGCCGATCACTTACCGTCTGCGTTCACACAAGATGGAGTAGCTTGACGACAGTCACTGAGTGCAGCGATGCGTTCCTCGTACGTAGACCACAGCCGCCTTGTATCAGCAGCGCGATGGAATACGATGTATCACAACGACATCATTTGACGCATATACTGTCGGACAAGCTTCTCTTTCTCATGCCAGCGGGGGTAAGGTAACGGGTAAGGTAACTCCTCTGCCGTGAGTCAGCTTTCAGAACTCTTGGAGTGCAAAGCATAAACATTTGTCATGGACCTGAAGGAGGGCTGCAGCAGGGCACGACTGTGAAGTAGCGGAAAAGGGTTAAAACATGGGCAAAGAGGGGGGACAATCGATCAAAACATATTATTGTGGCTGCCGGGCGCTCCAAGGTACTTACCGCAGCGCTTGCTCAGTATCATGACAGACGTGGGAGTAGAGTGGACGGAGGCATGAGCAACGCGTCAGATGACTGTAGATAAGTCAGGCACTTCGATGCCACCGAGGAACGAAGGAATTATGCATCATCTGATGTATATGAACGAGCAAACGCTCTAGGCCTGGAAAATCCCGTAAAGATGTAATGAATTCTACAGCTATCGTGAATTAGGTTCGTCAAGAGGGTCCCCATCGTTAGGAGCCGAGTTACTCACAAAGGCTACATGACACTGAGGAGTAGTATATAGCCTTGCGAAGATAATGCTATGATGTGCCGTTTTTCTTCGCTGCCTTCTCCTTCTTCAACCTCTCCTTCTCGACATCTGCCTTGGCAATTTCATGTGCTCCGTCATTTAGTCCCAGTCGGTTCCGAGCAATCTAGGATACAACGAAAGTCGTCGTTAGTGAAAAAAGCCGCAAAGTCACGAGTAATTGGGGTAATTCTAAACTCGCCTCGATAGCGTAGAACTGTATTCGGGTGACTAGATGTCACGAGGTTAGCATCAGGGACATCAACAAGGGTTATTGGCAGTACCGAAGATGGTGTTTGTTTCCCCGTACTCTTGTCTTGCATCCATGCGGATGAGAGACCCAAAATTGTAATCTTTCACTTTTTTTTCATACCTGTAGTTGGGTCGAGCTGTTAGCTGAGTCTTAACGCATACCAATAGCACTCACACTTGACAAAACTCTCTCCACTTCTTCTTTCCAATGTCGCTCTTGAGCCAGTCCTCGTCAAGCTTGACAAGATGTACATGATTTTCCTCGTTGAACTCAGGGAACGCCGACATGGTATGTTCGTATATCTCGTCGTCAAGCCTGTCCACTCAAATGAGCCGCTATATGATCCGAAGTGTTAAGCCTCACTTTGTCAATTTGAGTGCACGCGGAGGAACTTTCTCGAGCAGGTTCCAGTATGTCTACTCAACCATAATGGTGTCAGCGGCAGTGAAAATCTGAATAGCTCGACATTCCCGTACCTGAGCATGTTCGACCGCTTTCACTGCAAATCTGCGGAGATTGACAAGTTTGACATAGATCAATCTGCACTAGACGTCCAGTGTCTTTCGGCACTTACTGCTTCTCTATCTACGCTCCCATGAAGTAAGGAGAACAAATGATGAGTACGGGAAGATCGTTGGAAGAGGACTGGTCTACCTCGATGAGATTCTGAGCATTGTTGGGATCAAAGCTTTGAGTCGACATTATGTTTTTGGGACTTGAAAGGTTTATTTCTAGGAGCTATGGAGTAGTTGGTGAGAAATCACTGCTTGTGGAACATGAATGGGCTCGTGGGCAGTAAACGTGCCAATTCCAGTGAGTAGTAACGATCAAGGCCGGTAGTCCGTGACCTCCGAAGTGACTATACGACCTTAGGGTTAGGGTTCGAAGATAATGATAAGATCATGACACTGGTCGGAGGTTTGGACATTTTACCTCTTGCAAAATTTCAATCAAACGCAGATCTAGACCTGGCTAGGGGATTCTAGACCTAACCTGGAACACTCTAGATTGCATTTCGAACGTGGTTTCACTAGTGGTAAAATGTCGAAACCCCCGCTGTGTGATGGCGTGCAAGCGTGTACCTGGTACGTGCAGTTTCTTTCAAAGCACTTAGTCTCCTTAGGCAGACCCAGTAGAAGGGCGGTAGCCTTTCCTTCTTTATTATATATTTTTCAATAGAATGTTGCGACATCTCCCAACAACCTTCAAACCGTATATCTCACACAAAATGATTAACTCCTAGGCCTTGTTTTTGATTTCTTTTCAACGCCTACACCAAAGCGTTTCAACTTCTCAAAATACTTTTGAACGCGACTCGCAACCTGGCGTGGTGTCCGACGACCGCCCATGGCTTGCGAGATTTTTGCCCATCTATGACAGCTTGAGTCTTTAAGCACAGACGAGAAGACGAACACTCACCGATTGCGCTCACCATCTGGAATCTCTTCGAGGAGCCGTTCGAGTAGGTGTTGTTCGGATACTGACCATGCCTGCTTATAAGTTTCGGGCCTAGGCTTGTCTGTATCTGCTTTGGGTTCTGGTGCGGGCGGTGACGGCTCGGCTTTAAACTTGTGGTTAATATTCTTGACGTCAGCTGAATTACGAGAGCGTTTTCCGAGGATAGAAAGAGGGGGGATGGTGATCGACATGGACTCGGCGTTGGCCTCCACGTTACTGTCGAGTGATTGAGGCTGGAGCTTGACATATGGTTTGCGCGAACGGGAAGATCGACTGAGGCTGTCAGACTGTGTGATAAGGCGTTGGTTAATGATCGAAGTGCGTCTCTTGGACCATGATGCTACAGGCTGAGCAAGCTCTGGTGGCGCTATTGTGGATGGGGTGGATGGGACAGTTGTATCATCCACATCCATGGATGGACTGTTATTGCCTGATGGCCAAAGGCTGCTTTCGCTGATATCAACCTCCCCACTTTCGTCATCTACATCATTCCTGACAAATACTGCGTCAGCCGCCTCTCCATTCTCAGCGGCAGTATGATATGTAATCTTTCTCTCTTTGAGTTTTTGTATTTTGGCATGTGCACGCTCACGCCTACGCGTGGCTGTGAAGGATTCTTGGACAGGTGGTGATTTTATTTCTTTCTCTTCCTCCACAGCTTCGTCCTCGGATAACGTAGGCTGATCGAGAGCATGGAATGCAGATGTGGTAAGATTAGAATTAGACGTAAGATAGATTGCGTTATCAGGGCCAAAGCTTCCCAAGACGGGGTCAATGATGATTCGCCGTGCATCTTTGACGAATTGTTGGAGGGAGGAAAGAGGGGAGTGCTGAGTGGTGTGAGGCACGCTCCATTCCGTATGTGCGAGACGCTTTCGGACCGCAAAAGTTCGTAAAGGGGTGGGGTCTGCGACGAAGACGGGATTTAAGATTGCAGGAAGGTAAATGAAAAGACATAATCCCTACCAGCCGAGGAGAAGACTTGCCAATGAACCTCGTTCGCAAGGGGAGATACGGAACACTCATTATTTTCCGACAGCCTCAAGCCAGGACTACCGAACTGTAAAATAATAAGGGAGGGTGTGCCATTAACCACGCGGTGAACTGCATACCTTCGAACCGATATTCTCGGTGAAAGCCTTCGGTTGGCTAAGTGCATCTGCCCTGAGCTTCCTAAGTTTGTCTATGTCTGCCTCTGCACGACTTAACAGAGATTTCTGAGCCTGTATGTAGGCGGACAGCGCCTCGAGCCTGTCAAATGAGTAATAAGTCGGCCAAATACATCAAAAAATAACAGATAAAAAACAGCAGGCGTACGTCTCGGCGCGTCTCGAGTCCATGTATGCGATATCGTCCAGTTCATGGAATTAACTCTCTCTGAGAGTTGCACCAAACCGATTGTTGCAAGTCTGAAAGCGATCCCTCTCTATAACAACCCACACTCTGTGCTGAAATTTATTTTAAATTGCAGCACTGATGCTCACCCTTATGGTACTTATTTCTCACGCGTGCAGATGTTCAACTCACTATCCAAAAGTTCAACCATGACCAAAGGACTCTCGTCGTCGTCCGAGACGGCGAGCACGCCTCCTTAGCTCACCGTTCATCATGACCTCCCAGATCGCTTCGCTGCACTCAATATCTAACACCGCGTCCTCCACGTCTTTATCACCCAGTCTCGCCAATCTCAACGCCCTATCCACCCCCAAGCCTGCTCAACAGCGGCGCATGACGGCGTCAGCCCTACCACCTCCAACATCATTGAACTTGGTATTGCTTATTGATTTTATGTTGCTGTTGAATAGGCAACTGATCGTGTCGTGCAGCCCGAACCTGTCTATGGACATCCGGGGCACGCCCCAGGATCACCCCGGCGGCCACCATCGCCCCTTCGTAATGAATTTACCCATAGAAGATTTTCAAATGAAAGCCACTCCGGAGATGATGACGATAACGAAGAAGAGGACCAAAATAGCACATGGTCACGCAGCCATTCCCCTACGTCTGCCTCAGTCACTCAGTTTGCTGCGAACCTCGCAAACCGTGTTAATTCCTTCATTAGTCCTTCGGTAGCAAGCAGACCTCTTCCGACTGATGAAGAATTAGAAGCTGAAGCTCAGAGAGAGCGCGACAGAAGTCGACGAGAAGCCGAACGTATACTCACCCGAGAAGCAGAAGAAAGGCGAGCCATGGAGGAACGTGTTCTCGCTATGATGAATAGTTCTCCGCAATCACTTCCTCTTCCTCGAAGTAGATCACAAACGTTACCAAATCCCCCATCTCCCGCGCACTCTCAGAAGGACAGTAGCCCCAGTTGGTGGACAGCCGCCAAAGCACGCTTGACTCCTACAAAAGATAAAGAACCACTCACTCCAGCCCAGCAAGTCATAGAAGAAACTAAGGCTCGTGAAAAGGAAACAAAAAATACCAAAGGAAAGGACAACGAATGGCCTGCCTCTTCTGCAAGCAAATACACCAACCCCGCCTATCTCAACTTGAAGATACCTCCAGGCGGCCCTCCCCATCGCACGTCGTCTCCTACCTCCCCGACTCCAATTCGAACACCTGTCAACCTTTCCCCTGCGCGTGTCACACAGGCTCCGATAAATCTCTCGCCCGCCTCGATTCAGAGAGGGACTTCTCCAGGCGGCTCACCAGCACGCGAACCACCCCCACTTTATGCTTCGTTCACACCCTCGGGTACTCTGGATGTACCAGGTACACTACTATTAATTGCGAAGCGTTTTGAGAAACTTGAGAGATGGAGCGTCACCCACGTGCGTGCACTTGAAGAACGCATGGGTGACGTCGAGCGCTGGCTGGTCGACAAGGAAAATAGATGTAGCAGAGAGGGGGAGTCTTCCAACAACGACAAGCTCCCTCTTGAATCTAAGTTGGCTGCTATTAAAGGAGACGTCACTGAGCTACAGTCACGCATGTCGGAGCTGGGCCGAGAGATGGCTCGCCTCGCGACATCACCTGCCGTTCTCTCCTCTAATGGTGCCATCCGCAGCTCGCCAGTCATGAGCACCACCCCTCCGGTGGAGTCCTCCATTGTTAGCCCTCATGAATCCACCTTCTCTAGCGCAGCCGACACCACATTGTCCGAATTCTCATCCTCCAATACCACGTCGGCTCTAGATAATATTCGCAACCTCTCCACTCCCCGCAGAGTACCGTCCCTTACAGCCCGTGAGTCAACGAGTCCACCCCTCGCTCGGGCATCTACCCGTCGTACACCGTCAGGGAGTAGGACACGTCTTCCATATCCAACAGGCGACTACGCCAGCCCGGGAGAACTAATATCCCCACCTCACACTCCAGCCAGTTCGCCTCCTCCACAGGCACGTCCTGCATCGATGGTAATTTCCGGACTACCAGCGTTGTCCAGTCCGCTGGAACTCTCCGCCGCAATCACTCCACCTGGCCCCGCGCTATCTCCTAATCTGAGTGGCCTGCCCGCTCCCAGCACGAACAGCCCCCGTCGAGGCAGCGTGAGTCCTTCGCCTCTGCAAGCAGGGCGTAAGCGATACACCGTCGCCCTCGGTGGACCTATCGTAGCTCCCCCTGAAGTTGAGCTCGACTACGGGAGCGAACGTTCGGGCCTCGGCACGGCGTCTTTCTCTACAGCAGAGAGCAGTGACGATGACGCCGACGACGAAGATTACCAAAATGCCATAGACGAGACATTAGGGAAGAAATCCGCGTTCCGTCTGATGACTGCTACTAAACTCAGTAGCGGTGATTTGGCAAGCGCCGCGCCTGCTAATAACAGCCCAGGTAACCGTACGCGCGCGCAGTCCACATATGATGGGCTCCCGAATCCATTGCAGCGCAACCAATCAGTGTCTGCGCAGTCAATGCACCGTTTCCGATCGCAGTCCATTGACTTCCGGTCGGATAGTACTTTTGGTGGCGACCAAACCAATAAATTTGTGGATCCGCTTGTTCTACGACGGCAGGAGAAAACGGAGAAGGGCAAGGAAAAGCCTTTAGTGGGTCCAGGAAAGAAGGTTCCTGTAGGACAGCTCGTGGCGTTCTTTGATTCGGAACGTCGCTAAGTGTGTGTTGTATCTTTGCGACGATGTTTTGACTTTCACGATCCCATCTTACAACCTTTTAAATCCACATGCTGACTTGATCTCAGACTTATTTCATGGTTATATACCACGCAGCAATACTTGGTTTTCGTTTGTGTATTTTTGATTGTTGTTATCGTTGCTTTTGAGCTGAGGGCTTTCTGCCATTACAGAAAGATAAACATGTGTATTTGCTTCATTGGTACAATGCCTTATTCTAGTCTTGTCGCGCCTAATAGCTGTTCGTCGCAACCGACGCACAACTATAGCAATTGGGGACCGGGTTGTGGGTGTGTGGGTAAGGGTATGGCCATCACAATGCCATGGTTTCATCACGCTGGACTTTTGACATGGAACGTTCAACGACA